ACGGAGACTTTTTCAGAAATTGCAAGGTGTGGTTGTGGTTTGGGTGTTACGTCAACCCTTACTCAAAAACTCGATGACCTTGCGTTCATTACTTGGAGATGCCAGTGATAGAGATGGTTCATACTCATCCTGTGTTACCAAGACTGCTGGATTATGGTTGTCTTGGAATGTTCAGACCAGCAGTGTAGTGAGGAGTTCTTTAGACATTCTCTTGGCCAGAAGATTCAACTTACTTTAAACTTAACAGAAGAAACAAAAATCCCTATCCCCTCCCCTTCAGTATGCTAGAAGTAGTCTTTGTTTTTTAACTTGAAAATTAATCAGCTATCATGCTTTAGCTAGCTGGTCCCTGTGATACACCTGAAGACAAGCCGTTGTCGGTGAGGACTCCCTTGATATGTGTGTCCTTCAGTCATGCTAAAAGACTATCAGTGTAGTCACTTCTTTTCTAAGAGGATAGACCGAGAAGGAAGAAGTCAGTTTTATTCATTGATTTCTAGTTTGTGCTCTTTCAAAACTTAAGGACTTGTCTCTAAATGTTTATAAATAAAGCTTTGTTAGTATCAAATTATTATTTTGAAATTTAGGGATGGATATGGAAGAGACTACACGTAATATTGTATATCAGTGTTTTTGTAGCTTGTTCATGAATATGAGAATTACAATAAACATTTTTTCCATCTTTCTCCTTTTCATACAAAGTAGAGAAAACATAGAGATAAGTATGCAGCTACATTTATTTTATCGCTTTATTTACTTATTCATTTTAGATTTGGTTTCTAGATTTACTGCTACCATCATTCAACTGCTTTCAGTGAAGGTATGTTACCAGAGTTTGCCCCACTACCTCTGCAAGACTCTTGCTGTTGAATCTTAGCTCAACAGCTAATTTGCGGTATTCATTCAGCTGTCGCTTTCCATTTTACTCTTGAATCCAAAGATAATGAAGACTATGTTTTGCCAGTCTAGACCACAGGTGGTACCCTGTTAACTCCAGTTATTTCCTTACTCAATATTAGTGAGAGTGCTTTCTGTAAGAAGCTGCGCTGGGTTGTGTTTGTTCTGGATCGCAGCTGGAGTTTGGTGGGTCTCTCATTTCTGTTAGATCAATACAGTTGCGCTAAATTTTGTTTACCTCTTTGTACTTCCTGACATGATGTAAACTCATTTGTTGATTCTTCTGCACTTGCTTTTTCTCTGTGGCTTTGGTATGCTTTCAGGCAATTTCTGACATGATTAAGATTTTATTAATTTGTATTCTCTGCATTCTCTCAGCATGTGAGTGCATTTGCTTCGGTGCCAGTGTTTCATTAGGAGCTTTGAGTTCAGTGCATCGGTTCCTACTTCTGCAGTTGCATTATTAATTTCTTAATTTTTAAGTTTGATGCTTGTGTCATACATTTCACTTTCTAGTCCCAGAACATTTTCATGATGTGTACTGTTAAGTAATAAGTTTCTGGGTTGGAACTGAAGTACTATTTTTAATCACTGAATGTATAAATGGTTTGAGACCCAGTTACTTGAGGGAGCCAAGTTGAGTGCAGTGGCATCATTAGACCTCTTTTGCTATAAATGGGAGGAGGCAGTGGATAGACTGCTTTCTGTAAAGGCTTCTCAGATTGAAATTAATTTCTTTTCTTGTTCTAGCATATCCCAGTTTGGCTAATCTCTTGAGTGTAATGAAAACTCCATCTCCATATTTTACTGTAGGTAGGTGAAAGTTCTGGATGGCAGTCTAGGTGTGATTTGATTCCCTAGAGCTTGAATTTTTAAGATTGCCTGTTAACTGGAAAATGAAGCTTGGATTGTTATTAATATATTTAAAATTTCAGTGATTTCTCATTGTAGTAGCTTTGTCACTACTTCACGGTAAAACATTTTGTTACGTTACTGCATCTTCTACACAGGTGTACTAACTTAAGTTAGTATTTGGGCTTGACTACCTTAAAACTTAGACTTGCTTGTACTTGCTAAGTTACTGTGTAGAGTTAATATGCAGACAAATGAGGCTCAACTGAGAATAATATCCTAAACAAAGAGTAACCAGAAATTATTGCCTCTGTTAAGTAAACCACTTCATTGCTAGTCTAGTTCCTTAGGCAGTTGCACTGATGTGATCACATTGACGGTTAGCCTGCCCTTCCAGTTTCTGAAGCTGTTGGCCAGCATCTGTTCATTTGACAGTATTAGAGATCTCAAAGGTACTCAGCTTTTATAAATTTTGTGAATATTAGTAACTCGGTAGCAGAGGGAGACCTGAAGTAGCAGATTTTGTCTCCAGGTTAATTGCTAATATTTTGTTTTACCTGCCAGCTGACCACTTGGCATGCACATAGCTCAGAAGTAACTGCATGGGTGTATTGCCTTTGACCGATAAATAGACAGGGCAAATGAGGAATACTAGCTAAGTTTGAGACTTGGGACCAGAGGCAGGGAACTGGAGGAGATGCAGAAAAAAGTGGTCATAGGAGACTTGGGAGGAATTAGGATTTTTGCATGGGAAGGAGTAGAGATGGAGTATAGGAACCTAAGCATTGCTAGTTTCACTGCTTGCAAAATAGCTTTAATGTTAGCCCTCATAAAGCTTCGTTACGTGCTTGTTCCTCTTTCTTAGCTTCATTTTCTCTGTCTCGTCTAGCCGGTTTAAAACTGGTTCTGTGGCTTACCTTGAAACTCTGCTTCTATCCTGCACAGGGTAGCTCTTGTAGTTTCAGAAAGTAGTTTCTAAAATTGACTTAGCAATGGTGTATTTCTGTAAGTCCAGAAATAAACTTGTGGCTGATTAAAGCAAAAAGTACATACACAAATGCTTACAGTATTCAGAAGTCAATATGTACACTATCAAAATTTTGTGAAAAGTTGGTATTTTATAGTTGCAGTGTGTTATGGAAAACAGCTAGGTGGCTGCATATGTATTTTACAGTGCTATGCAACGTGCAGGTGTTTTGTATTTAGGAGTGGTGGTAGTTAACCTCTGCTGCCACTTTGACTAAGTCTTAGTTTTATATCCCAAATCTTGCTTCATCTAATTTAAAGTTTTAATTATGATCTTGTAGTATAGACATTATTTTGAGTTACATTGATGTACTTCCTGAAGAAATGAAATAATGAGGAAGAAGAAAGTGTGGGTTTTGTTTTGTTTTGTTTTTTTACTAGGGTTAAATGAGTCCTAGATTGAACCTTAATATAGACCTCTTTCTTTCCCTGGATTTACCTTGATAGGCTAACAATTATCAAAGTTAAAACTACTTTTAAAATGAGATGTGAACATGGGCTGGTTAGCATTTAATACCAGCTTTTAGTATTTAGTATTTTTAGTATTATTAAAAGTATTTACAAGTATTTATAGTATAAATGAAAATCACATATAACATATACAGTAAATAAATACTATATCATAATACCATATTTATTAATTTATTAGTAGTATAATAAGTATTTAATATTAGTTAATAGTTGTTAATATATATAAATACATATTTTTATATAATTTCTATATATATAAAAATAAATGTTAAGGCATGATGTAGTCAGCCCATGTCACTCGCAGCTTGCTGTTCCTGCAGGCAGTGGTCCCATCCTCACCTCGTGGTTTTTTTTCTTGCATTATCTTTTGTACTTCTCTGATCCCTCACTGAAATGATTCAGCTCACTAACCAGGTAGAAAGCTAATCTAATAGAAGGAAAGTGGACTTTTGACGCTCTAGTGAGCTGATTTGGTTTATGGGTGGCTCAGAGAACCATCAGAAGAAGATCAAAGGAGATTGAAGTGGTGCTGTGTAGCCAGGAAAGGGAGCACATTGGCCAGCCCCTGGGTTTGGTGGTGCTGAGCTGTCTTATTGAACTGCACCCATGCATTTGGATTTCTTTAGGCTTTGCCACTTTCTAAATACTGCGCTATGATAGTCTGTCTTCCTCTCTTAAGAAAAATACTTTTTTTTTTTTTTTAATTTTCTTGAGCACGTGAGATATCATGATGTTGAATGATTTGGAGTGCAAATCAGATTGTTACTGTTAATAAGCCTGATGAACAAATGGGACTTCCGTGATCACCTCCTTGCATATAAGTAAAATTATCTTTTGTTCTTAGTTTAAGTGCTTACTGACAATTCCTGGACCTTAATATTCGGAAATTGGTTACTCTGTTGTGGCAAGAGAGGATGTTTAGTTTTTCAATCAAGACTGTTTCCATGAGCTAAAATCTGTGGTTTATAGAATCTTGATTTTTTTTTTTTTTTTGTAGTTCACCTTAACAGAAGCAGATCCTCCAAAGTTTGCTGTCTGTCCACTTCTTAAGTACAGCTCTGAAGTAATCCCTTGCTATGATCTTTGAATTTCTGTCTACGTTACCTCTGAGAAACACAACAGGAAAAAAAAACCCCTCTGGTAGTGTTTAGGTGCTTCTTAAAGGTGTTAAGACTAATGTTGTTAGTGTGTATAATGCTGTTAATGAACACATTAGACAACAAGTGCTGTAAAAGTATAAAGTCCATTTTCAGTTACTCCTAGCTGCGTGTTTGACAGTCTAAAGAAGAGAACAAGGTATTGCAAAACTCTTACAAGAAGGAAAAGCATAATGTGACTGTTTAAGCATTTTAAAGACAAAGATAATGTCAGTAGAATAAATTTGTGCTGTGTTTCTAAGCATCTTTATTTTCCTCAGTCCTTTTTTCTTTTTATTTACACTGTTAGTTCTTTTTCAAGTAGGGTAAGAGTTAGCAGTGTCATGTATGATATACAAACTACAGTGGGTTAGAGAAACGGAATGCTTGTTCAGAAATAAATGTAAAATATTATAGAAAAGTTTAATATTAAAAATTAAATATTTTTTTAGTTTCCAGTAATGTTTTCAGAATAAACATTTTTACTATTTCACACAAGCTCGTTACTAAGAGTTTGGTAGAGACTTCCCTGTTACTGAGCTTAAGTTCCCTCTTTTTCTGTAAGGGTATATACAAATGAGCCAATTAAGTATGGTCTGATGCTTTTTTTCTTTTCAGAAAGATGAAGGTAGTGATGCTAGTTTGAGTGATAGCCACATATCTCCTCCTGCCAAACGTACCTCAAAACATGCTGATCCTGTGTGCAAAGACAAATCAAAATCACGCAGTACTGGGCAGCGAGAGGAATGGAGCATCTCAACTGGACAGTCCAGGTAACTTGGTGCCAAGAGAAAAATGAAGCCTTACCAATTTTTCCTGTATTGTTAACCCGCTTACGCCATTTCTGCAGTGAGCTGCAGCTCACGCTCTCAAGAGTGTATTTTTGAAGCGTGTTATTTTAATACAATTTTCTTTTAGTTTAAGGCTCCAGGAACATGGGTTACATCAATCCTCTCATCTCTCTGTTTCCTTTCTATGCAAATTTGTGCAAAAATGGAAAGTAATTTTATTTGAGATGCAGCCTGAATTCTAGATTCTTGATACATCCAAATTTAGTGACTTAATTGGTATTTTTATGTACTCAAGCTATAAGAAGACATGGCATTTTAATTAGGAAATCAGTATTATCCTCATCTTTAGGGAATGGATAATGGTCAAGTTTCTTTCTTTCCATTGTCGTTTTCAGCCTCTCTTCCCTGTTCGGTTATAAGGACTCAAGTCCTTATAGTAAATTACTGTGTTTTATTAAATATAGCCTCAATCCTGCCACATTTTTACAACTCGAAAAAGAAGTAATTAGTTTCATTTTATAACTCTGATTAATAATAATTTACAAAGCATTCTTGTGTTCGTACGGTTCTTCACATGATTACAAGTAATTATGAGACAGTGTAGACAGTATGTTCCTGGGCCATGAACTTTCAGTTAATACTGATTCTTTTGTACATATGTATTCCATATTTATTTACAAATCAAAATCATTCTTGCAATGCTTTGTATGTAAGAATGACTGTAATTCACTACTGAACTGTTGTCTGCTAGGATGAAGTATATTTAAAAACTATGCAAATCTTAAAATAGATCTCTTCTTTTGGTTTGTTTTTTCCTTTTAAAACAGAATAAATTAAACATAGCATATTATGTGCCATGGTCATCTGGGAATGTATTGAAACTCATGCACCTTCTATTTGTTTTGTTTATAAGTGTAGATTTGTACTGAACCTATTAGAAATGCTAAGAGATAAAAAAAATATTTAATGTGGCTGGGAGAATTTAGATCACTGTGTCAAATGAAATTTGGCCAGGATACTGAAACTTGTGTTGTTACTCATGTAGAACCCACTGTGACATGTCTTTGCATCTGAGGTTTTCTTGTTGTTTTCTGCCAAAATCCAAAGCGCTGGGCCTAATAGTGATCTTGAGTCGCTAAGACATTTCCCAAAAGTTTTGTTGCTAAACCTATATTATAGTCAAATTTCACTTCTTCAATTGTGGTTTCTAAAATACTTAAAATATCTGGCCAGAAAAAAGTTATTGGAAAGTTGGATGTGGACATGATTTTTGTAAATGTGGTTTTCTGTGTTGCTACCCAACCCTTGCAAAAATCCTTAGGTTACCTTTGTTTTGTAAGGATTTGTTATACATTTCTTAGGAAAATAATAGCAAAGCCCACATCTTCTGTGCCTCCGAGTTGAACTCTTTGCAGTCTGTTGAACTCTTGGTCACATTCAAGCTCAGATTGCATTTGGTATTATTAAGATTTCCCCTTCTTTTTCTCATCAAATTCATCATCAGTTTTCTAGTTTGAGAACAAGGAGTTTTTCCCTATCCAGTACTGGTGTGCAGTATGTACAGTTCACGTGTCTGTAAAGTACTTAGTGTTTCTGAGGGTGGAAGAGGGATAAATTTTTTTTCCTTTTGCCTGATTTATTTTGCTTTTTTGCATAGCGATGTTGACAAATTATTTTTTACAGTCTGCCAGTGGTTGTAGAGTTTTGTTCATTTGTATTCTACTCTAAATTATCTTTTAGTAAAATCACGTCTAATAAATAAGAATATTTTCAATTTTTTAAAGATAAGTGAATAAAGGAACAATTGCTTACTCAATAAAATTGCAGAAAACTCTGGAATACGTTTTTGTCTTGGACTGTGATGTAGTAAGGCTTAATTTTCCTAAAAGTTAATTTAAAAAGAAATTCAAAATACCAGATTGATAGAGAACATGAAAATCTCTTTTTACTGATTTTAAGTACACCCAGCATAAATTAATTCCATTCACTTAAGTTGGTAATTTTGTTAAATGTATTCTTTTTCTGTGAGTACAAAACAGCTCTTTGTGCTTCCACTAGTTTATCCAAGTATTTGAATGATAGTTGCCTTTGAAGAGCTATATCAAGATCCTGTTCTGAAACTTAAGGGGAAAGTTAATAGTAGGACATGGCATGAGGGAACATTGGAGGGATTAACAAAAGAGATGTTTAGATAATTGGGGGGATTCATATAATTGGTATTTGGCAGTTTTGTCCTCATTCCAGTGTTGGGCATGAAGCAGACTCTTCAGAGGCTACGTGTCACAAAGGTTTTGAAGTTGTAGTGTATCGTGTAACATTCTATGTTTGAAGTTCTATTTTCACCATGTACCTTTTGGCTAAGGAGCGTTAATATTATTTGTGTGTCTGATATAATTGTTTCCTAGGTTAACTTCTCAGCCTGGTGCTACACTACCAAATGGACGTAGCTTATGTAAGTGTATTACAGTGGACCCTTTTGTATCTACTTTTACATTTAACAATTTTATGTCAATGATTTTCAGTTGCATATGTTTTTAATAACTTTACTGATAACTCTGACCATTTTGACCAGAAAAATTACTGTTTCGGCTCAGTTTTCTTCTGTCAACATCTTGGATGCTCTCTGTGGACATGGGGAACATTCTTAGATGAAATTCCATTTCTCTTCTCAATTCAGACCTCTTGGCCATGATCTTAATGTTTTCCTTAATTCCCAAATTTACTGTTATGAACTAACTTGGCCCTCCTCTCCCAGCTGGTCTCTTTAATTTACTTACTCTCTTTGCTCATTTAAAATTTGGCCTTCTATGGTTCTTAACATTACTTAACTCTACTATTGCTTTATAGAGACCTGCCTTGTCTGCAGCTCCTGCTACCTTGAACAGTTTTCCTATATGCTTGTACCTTACAAACTTGCCATCTTGTTGCATATCTCAGCTAAAACCACTTTGTCTTTCATGTCCCTTTTTCATCAATTCTGTCTTGTTTAGTTCTGTGTTGACTCTACGTAAGCGTTAATCCATTAAGCATTTTTGGTATTTTTATTATTTATTGTGGTGCCTAAGGAACAATCAGAAGTGGGATCCCTTTTTGTTTGGCACTGTACAGAGTAGCTGATATAGATTTGCTTGTGAAATTGATGTGTTGTGTCTGACCTTTTGATACTGTATTTGAAAGACTAAGAATTGAAACTGTGGGCCAGTTGTGCATTTTAGTATTGATGTTAACCTAAAAATTTTGAACGGATATTTGAATGCCAAATTTTCATCATAAAATAAGATTATCATATAAGGAAACAAGCTCGAGCCTGAAGAAATAGCTTTTAAAACAACTTCAATAGGAATTTAAAAAATATATTTCTTTAGTGAATATAAGGGTGCTCATACTGTGCTCCATAACTTTTGGTTTATTGTCCTTGCTAAGTATTCTCTTATTAATTCTTGTTTGTGAACATGTTGTTTCCTGCATTTTGAAGTAGTAATACAAATTTCTCTTAGCTCTCAAAAGCCATCCCCTTCGAGGGGAAAAAAAGGGAGATGGGGACCATGCTTGCATAAACGGAGATATAGAAGTCAGAAAAAGTTGTCGGTCCAGGAAAAACAGATTTGAAACTTTGAATCAGAGTTTATTGTTTGATCAGCTAGTAAACAGGTATGTGGGGATACTTCAGTTGTATTCACAAAGCATCTTAATGATTTTTTAAAAAGTTAGAAAACCCTGTCTTCCAGTGCCATCTATGTGTTTTACTGTGGGAATGTATTAGTGTTGAGGCAAGCTAGGTTGTGGTTTGAGTTACAGGCTGGGTCCTGTGCTGTAACTGCCTTTGTTATCCGTGCTTTAAATGCAAAGCAGCTTACCAGACTTTCATTGAGGAGTAAGCTACTTTGTGTTTACACCTGGATAAAACTGAGCATGTTGGCGGTTATTGCAGAGTGGCTGACGTGCTGTAAATCCACACCCTAGTTTGTTTCTTAGTAACCTGTTTATGTAGTGATACCCTAAATGTGATGTAAATTGGTGATTAGCAACAATGCTTGGAAGCTTTCTAGATTTTGCTTGTATGATTTTGATCATAAAATATCAAAAGTTTGTAGCTTTCTTTTTTTTGTTTTTGTTTTTTACCATTTGTTAGTAATTCACATAGGGCGGGTGTCACTTTTTGACATTTACTGTGCAGACAAAGTAGGTCAGAGAGGGAGGCATGGTCTGGTCTGAGCATAGGAATGGGAGCCAGAAATACTTTTCTTGAAATATTATTTCTTGTGGCCGTGGGCAGGTCACTTAGTATGTCTCAATTTTCCCACCTGTAAAATGGGTGTTAATAGTCACATCTGTGAGAGACTGCTTGCTCTAGTGCTTGGAAAACAATGCAAACATGAACATTTAATTGCCAAGTATGATCGTTATTGTTAAATGTATTCTGTTGAATCTTTTATTAATTTAATTTTCTTTTTCAATTTACTCGGTAACTACTTGGTATCAGTTTACAAATTTATATTGAGTTACATTTATTTTTCTAGTTGCAGTTGAATCTCCCTCTCCTCATCAACAATAGGAAAAAGTCTACCATGAAGATTGTAATTGATAAGATCATGGTACTGAAGTCTATGTATGAACTTATACTGATAACAGTGTGTCCCATAATCATTGGAGGTTTTTAAGAACAGGTTAGACAAATGTGTCAGGAATGATTTAGGTATTGTGTAGTTTGTTCTTGCCTGGCAGAGCAGGTGGACTTTTCCAGGTCCCCTCCAAACCTGTTTTCTTCGATAGCGAACTATAGCATGATTTTACTTGAAGTGGTTATGTCACACATCACAGATATTTTAGAAGAATTGTTTAAAATTGAGAGGGGTGCTCATAATGAAATCTTGACTTTACTGATGTCTGTGACCAGAACTTCCATTGACTTCTTTCTAGGCAGGATTTCACCCTTTAGATTTACGTTTAAACAGCTTGAAAAAAAAGAAGTGAAAGTTTCTGCCTTCTCACAATTGTTACACAATTATAGTAGAATTCCAGTGGAAATCTACCATAATCGCCATAGAGAGCAGTAGCTAGGTGTTCAGGACAGGTGGCCAAATAATTGACTTGGCCTGGCAAATACTCTGTTGTTTTCTTCCTTAGCAATGAAGCATCTTGGCCAAGGTTATTATTTATACACCACTGTTGTTTTGACAGCTGTTTACAAATACTTCAGATAATGAAAATGTAGACTAATTAAGTAGTAGATGAGAAATGGTAGAGTAGTGAGCTCAAACAATGAATGATGAAATTCTAGGTGTTACTGATTTAACATTTAAAAAAAAAAAAATCCTTTATGTATTAGTGTCTTTCTGAGGCCAGGGTAAGAAGCTCTAAAGCTTATGGGGTGGAGGCATTAATTGCTTTCCCAATATTATAATTATGTAGGTAAAAAGCTTTACTTTCTTATTCTGCAAACTTAATCTTATCTGACACCTAATCTAACATCTAAGCAGTTACAAATTTATATGCTGCAGTTTACACTGAGCAAAAAAATTTTAAATTTTGTTTTTTAAATGTTACAGCCTAATTTGAACCCTGAATTTTAATAGCATCAGCATTTCTTCTCTTGCATACTCTTTAGTTTATATTCTGTGGGTTCATCTTTCAGTTTTCTTTATTATGGTTGGGTTTTGTAGTTAATTGAGAGATTCAAAAGCTATCCTAAAATTTTCAGATTTCAATTCATTTGTATATTTAGTTGACTTGTAGACCTTGGAATAGCCATAGCAGACCATAGAATTAGATATGTTAGGTTGTTGGATGCTGTGTAAAAAGTTCTGGATGTCTACTATTTTAAGACTGAATTTTTTGTGTGTTAACTGTTGCATATATTTTAGTACTGCTGAAGCTGTCCTACAGGAAATGGATAATATTAACATCAGGAGAAATAGGCGGTCTGGGGAAGTAGAACGGCTACGGATGTGGACAGACACAGAATTTGTAAGTGCAGAGTGTCTCAGATCTTGAATAAAAGTAAAATCAAGGGGGAGCATGTGTGTTTGCCATCTCCATACATTTGTCTGTAGCTCTGTCAAAAGGTTTCAGGTCCTCTTCAGTGGATAACATTAAAAAAACTTGATAAATGCAGAACAAAACTCATGGATGTAATACTAAATCATGTTTTCTTTATTGATGAATTGACTTCTGTGCTCTCATGAGGTACTGCGGTGGTTCTCTTTTGGTTTGAAGCACACTCTGGTAGTCTGAAAACAGGACCAGGGACTGTCATCTGCTTTGTTCCCTAAAACACCTTGATACTGATGTTAACTATGTATTAGATGGACTAGGTACTGAGAGACTTATTTTACCACCTGTTAAATGGGACTGCTTTTCTAGTCTGCCTGTGGAGGCTTGTGTTGGAAAAAGACTTGGGGATCTTGTGTGGAGTATTACTTACTGAACTGTGGGCTAACACTGAGAGTGACATGGGACAGTACTGATAGGAGTGTATGTGAATTTTATTCCAGGAAAACATGGATATGTATTCTCGAGTGAAAAGAAGGAGGAAATCACTGAGGAGAAATAGCTATGGGATTCAGAACCACCATGAAGTGTCCACAGAAGGGGAAGAAGAAGGTATGGGTTGTAAAGAATCGTAAGGGTTTGTCTGAAATACTTATAAAACAAAGCTCTCCTCAACATAAGATAGCCATATATTGCACTGCAGAAAGTAATTTGGTTTTGGATCTGGATTTGGAGTTATTAAATAGACCAATTAACAAGACTCTTGCAAATAAGTACACACTGAAGGATTCCTCCTCTTTAGAAGGAGGAGAAGTTTTAGGGATCTCTACAAATAGGTTTCTTTAAACAAAAGCAAGCTTATCTGAAAGTGGCAGAACAAACCCTGGTTTCTAAATGTTTATATACTATGTTCCCTTACTCTTGTTTTCCGTAACACTAAGCAATTGAAGCTTTCCTTATATGCCCTGTAACAATCCTCTGGTGGAAGCCAGGATGTGATGCATGTAGTCTACAACTATACATGTTCTGACTGACTCGCAATTTCGCATATGCTGGGTGGCAGTTACCAGAAAGAATGTGTAATAGTCAGTTCTGCATCCTTCCTTTGGGGAAGGTATTAATTAAAGTCTCTGTTTTCTATCCATCCACTGAATTTTAGAAGGCTTGTAGACACACAACTGTATTTGAAATTCTACCTTCTTTTAAAAATTTGGATGCAACTGGCCAGTGGGTTCAAAAAGTATTGAGAAAGAAGGGATTATGGCTAACTTTGATGGCAGGATCAACAGCATGCTTGGCTTCCTTAAGAAATCAGACTCAAACTTCAGGGATCCATACAGGGTTCAGTGTTGTGTGTCTCAATTTTGAACTGAAACTGCTGTAGGAGGTATGGTCCGTCCTAGTTAATAAGAATGCAGTCTTAATTCTGAGATTCATGGATGGAAATACTGATCCTGTTAATAGATGGACCTAGGTGGTACCTTTATACAGTGTGTTTATTTGCTTTGTGTAAAAATTATATTGTGAATTGTAAAGTTGTACTTATTTTCATGTTCTGTCAAATACTTGATCTTCTGAGGCTTCTATGGGAAAAGAGTGAGAAGAAAGGCATTATTCTTAATTTGAAGGACAATTTTTGAAGGAAAAAGATAGTGGGTAGAAGTGATGTTTGAAGCACTTTACCACTAAAATGAATTTGACTACATTTATTTTTCTTTCTATTGCTTTTCCAGAACCTTCTGTGGGAAACTAGAAGGCAGTTTGACAATGTGCTGTAGATTTATCTTGCTTTTCAAATTTCCAGTGATTTGCCAATTAGTGTTAATTAATAGGAGGGGAATAATTCTCAGTGACCATTAAAATGTTAATTTTTAGGATGAAGATAGCTCTGGCATCAAGTAGAAGTGTTCTGAAAATATTTTTCCCCCCAACAGAGTCTCAGGAAGAAGATGGAGATATAGAAGTAGAAGAGGCCGAGGGAGAAGAAAATGATCGGCCATATAATCTCAGACAGAGAAAAACTGTTGAAAGATACCAGGCCCCTCCAATAGGTGAGGAACTAAACAGTGCTCATGCAGTTCTGCTCTACTGACCTCCAAGAATACCATAGGTGTGGGAAGGGAAAAGTTGGATGACTGTTCCTCACCCCTGACAGAGTTCCCATGCAGCGTTAGTGACTTTCATCTTGCTTGTGTTCACCATGTGAATATGTCTACTGAGACACAATCTATCAATTTGTCAATGGTGGTGACGTTGCTGGTGCATGCTGCCTTATTGAGCTTTGCGAGTGCTGCCATGTGCTGGGCTCAGGGTTGGAGGTGGACAGGGTTTAGGTCAAGAAATAGTTGGCGGAAGTTGAATTCAGAAAGCAATCTAATAAATTAGATAATTACATAGAAAAAATAGTTACTATTATGCCTGATTCTCTTGAATGGTAAGCCTAATTCATAACTGTAGATAAATTGCATAGCAGCAGTTACACATTTTGCCTAGATGAGAAATTTAGAATAGAATAGTTCAGTTGGAAGGAACCTACAATGATAATTTATTCCAACTGCCTGACACCTTCAGTGCTGACCAAAAGTTAAAGCATGTTGTTAAGGGCATTGTCCAAGTGCCTCTTAAACACTTGCAGCCGTGGGGCATCGACCACCTCTCTGGGAAGCCTGTTCCAGTGTTTGACCACCCTCTTGGTAAAGAAATGCTTCGTAATATCCAGTCTAAACCTCCCCTGGTGCAGCTTTGAACCATTGCCATGCGTCTTATCACTGGATACCAGGGAGGTGAGATCAACACCTCCCTCTCTTCCCCTCCTCAGGAAGCTGTAGGGAGCAATGAGGTTGCCCCTCAGCCTCCTTTTCTTCAAACTAGACAAACCTTGTGTCTTTAGCTGCTCCTCATAGGGCATGCCTTCAGTGATCCATACAGGTTTTAGCGTAGTGTCTCTTGATTTTGAACCTTTTAATACTTCTGTTTGAAATAATGTATTCTGTGCATATTTGGTTTAGATTACAATGGTGTATGCCGTGTGCTATATCTTAAGGCCACTTCGAAATTAAGACTGTGATAGAAAAATGTTGTGGTTTATTTGTTAAGAGAATTTCAAGACATCCCATATTATCAGCTGCGCAGAGGTTTCTGTATGGAGTTTCATGTCCTGCAAATAAACAAAAAATGCTAGTGCCCTGAACAAATTACATTCTGTGCCATGATAGCCATAGCTGTGATGATTTGAGGAGGCTGAGGGTGGAATTCCCATGACTGTATCAAGCCAAGTATGGTGATAGTGAAATAAAGCATAAGAGGTTTGATTTCCCTCCCCCCCCGTTATTTTCTTAATTTGAGCTTCTGGAGAAACCAGCGATAACATTATTGGTAAAGCGATAATGTAACTCTTTTGCTCTGCATTTAGATTAGTTTATCATTCTTTTGTAATTGATGTTACAAACCTGTAACTTCTCTTACTCAGTGCCAGCTCATCAAAAAAAGAGGGAAAATACACTGTTTGATATTCACAGATCTCCTGCAAGAAGAAGCCATATCAGGTAAATGTCAATCTTTTGGTATGTACATACCAACTTGTTTGCTTTCCCTCGGTACATTTCTATTAGCTTTTGATTTTCAAAACATTCTTGAGTGAGTTGTACAGTTCATTCACGCATGTGCGTGGGTCTTGAATTGTATCTTAGGTTCAGACCTTCATCAGCATACAGGAATGAATTTCATAGCACTTCATAACACCAGTAGAAACTTTCTGATAAACGGAATGGAAACAAGTGTGCTGCAGGTACTGGAAAGAGAATTGCGCACTGCACACCGTAGCTTTTTCTGTAAGGGTGTATATTTAGTGTTTCAATCCAAAGCAGCAGTTTAACAAATATCCCCTTTCTATACTACAAAAATAAACAAATCAAGGTAATGTTTTTTGTTTTCTTTCAGTTCAAGTTTCATCCAAGTAATACTAAAATTTTAATAAAATATTTACCAAGCATCATTTTTGAGTCTTACTTTTTGTGTCAAAGAAGTCTGGAATACGCCAAGTTGTCTTGAAAACTGTTGATAGGCTTTACTTAACAAAATAGATGAGATCAGAGCTTAATACATTTTTTTAAAAATAAACTTACTCAAAACTTCAAAAAGATAAATCTGTCCATGAACAGAATCCAAGTAAACAAATGCTAGTCTCAGCTGAAACTCTCGTCGTCTTATTGCTCAATTTAATGGCGGAGTGAAAATATGAAAAGTAAATAAAACAGCAGAATCTTACAATTCTACAAGTTTCTTTGAAATATAAATAAAAACATTTCATTTTGAAGAGCTTTTTTCTTTTTGCTTAAAGTGCATATGTCATTTTGTTGGGTTATCTCAGGACTTGTACTTGCTAGTAAGATGTAAAGAGTGTGAAAGCTGTTATCCCTTCAGTTTTAGCATGCCGATTGCTCTACTCTCATCTTATCCCTTCTTGTCAGGACACTGTCATAAAAAAAATCTTCCTAATTGCATGATATTCTCTTTGATATGTTTTTAAATATATCTAATTTTTGGTCATCGAACAGTAAAACTGACTGACTGTGTTATCCTTTGGCAAAAAACAGCTAGTCAGTGCATTATCATGTTCATACAAATGATGCAGCTCACCATATTCACTAAAAATACATGAATTTTTACTAGTAGCCAACTTCTTCATGCAAAAAAAGTGCTGACTTTTTTCAAACTGATATCAAACCAAGCACCTTTTTGTACAGATGATGTAATGTATGTTCTCTAATATTTCTGAAATACTCAGTTTTCTGAAATACCATCATACTAAAATAAGAAATGGTTCATGCAGACTTTGAATAGTAATTTTACTTAGATTCAGATCAGAAGTTAAACTACAGTACAGGTATTTTGTGAAACTGTTCTGCTGTTCAGAATTAATGACCTCATAAAAAGAGACCATATGCTTTAGGAAGTATGGAATTTTTTCAAAGAATATTTAAAGGGAAGCGTGAAACTGAGTAAGGAGATCTTGATTATTCTGTTATGTTGGAGGTGGCTAAAGTGGTTGGAAGCTTTCCTAAGTACAGTTGCTGTCTGATGAGCTTCAGCAGCTTATTGATTGAATACTCAATCACACTTGCTGAGGTAACATGAACAGGACCACATATCTTATGTGGATCTACTGTTTTAGTAACGTTCATGTTGAAATCGGATATCCCTGTGACAGTAAAAGATGTTGTTCCCCTCCCAGATTATTTTGATATTAAAACTAAAATTTGCATGCATCTTAAACCTGAACAGTACTGTACTTGCCGTTTCAATTTTGTTTTTATAAAAGAATCAAAACATGCCATTCTACTGCAAAAAGGACTGAGTTTTATGTTTATTTGCCACTTCAATAGGAGAAAGAAGCATGCCATTCACAGCAGTGATACAATGTCTTCAGATGAAGAACGTTTTGAAAGAAGAAAATCTAAAAGCATGGCCAGAGCAAGAAATAGGTATCAAAACACCCTTGGTCTTTAGGAGGGTTTGATTTTTATTATTCAGCAGAAAACAAGCAGAATTATTCTATAATGTTCTGTCAGTTCTGCAGACTTTTTTGATTCCACCTGTGATTACCTGCAGACACAGTGTAAGAAGATTGCTGGTTATATATTAACATAGATTTTGAAGTCTTATGAGTAGATAATTAACAATAGTGATAAAAAGATGGAAAGATAAGAATATCTGTTTGATTCATTTGGGTTATAAGACAAACAACTTCTGTTGGTTAAAATGAATTTTTATTCCCAGTGTTACTTGGTCCCAGTTAGTTCAGTTGTACTCTCAAAACTAGCTCTTATTCTTCTCTCTTCCTGTTGTGTAATGACATGTGTGTTCTACACACCCAACACGTATCTTCTTGACCTTACATTTATTCACCAGTTATCTAAAAGTGGAAGATCTGTAAGGTGTATCAGTAAATATACTTACTGCCACAGATATATTAGTTGGAAAACTGAACAGAAAAATAAGTGTTTCCTCATCTTTCTGTCTCTTCCTGACTGCCACACCATTCCAACCTGAGGAATTCCAAAGATGTACAACTACCAAAAGTGTAGTTCCAAGTGTAACCTGTATCTTACTGGTACCTTTTTTCCTCCCTTTAACGGTGTATTTGACCTGACGTAATATCTGTGTGGGGGCTTAAATCTTCTTTGTATACACTAAGAAGCTGGAATAGGTGGATGTGAGTTACGGCTGATCTACAATATTTTTATTTCCTTTCTTTGGACTCTAATGAGCTATATTTTTTTAAAATTTGTTTTCCTTGTACTGTTAATCCTTTTCTTACTGTACTGAACTTATGCAGTTCATCACTGCCAGTGGAGAGTGTCCTGTTCTTTTGGTCAACGTTGTTTCTTCCGTGTTTAATCAAAATAGTCTGTCCAGCCTGGTTCTCCAGATTGAAATATCTGTATGGAAGCATAAAACTATCTTTATATTTAAGGAACTTTCAGATATATAAGAATCATTATCACAATAAAAAGGTTAGTTTTGATTACCTTATCAATCCAGGAAGGTCATCTCTTTAGGTAGTAGAAGGCATTTAATCTCTTGGTTCTTCCCATTCCAGCAAAATGATCGAAACACAACAATATTTATTTGGTGGGTTTTCTTTGTTGTTGAACAGATGCCTGCCTTTAAACTTTAGAGCAGAAGATTTAGCTAGTGGAATTCTGCGAGAACGTGTGAAAGTTGGGGCAAGTTTGGCTGATGTTGACCCTATGATTGTTGATAAATCGGTAGGTTTTATTAAAACTTTTTATTTTCCTTCCCCAATTATTCATAAGCAGAATTCATCACTGCCTCTCATTAGAGTTGAAGTAAACTCATAACAAGCTCACTGGTCTGTTTTGATTTTTTCCAAAGCTGTTGTCTGTTTATTCCTTTGGGCTACAAAGCACTTGCTTGTGGCCTGTAGGTAATCAACAGGCTGCATACGTATCGTAAATAAGCCAAAGTATCAATTGCCCAACTATATTTCTTTGTTTAGTCAGTTTGTGATTACTTGTGATAGTAGAAACTGCGATATGATGAGCAGTGCAGAAAACAGAAGTACCAACTGCCTGGGTTGGTTAACTCGGTGCTAGCCATGTGGGTCCTGTGCTTATTCAGAAACAATGATGCACATTAGCTTATGGTGTGTGTTGTGCAGAAGCTGCTGAATTATTACTAGGGCTGAACCATTGTCTAGAAGTACGTTGACTATATTCGTGTTATGCTGTGCCTGAGCTTAAAAATGCTCTCAGACTTAGGCTGGATCTCTATAGAAGTCCAGGCATCCCTGGCACAGTTAACTTGCGAACCAGATAAACCTCATGTGAGCAACCAGGAGTTGACTTTCTAAACTTTTTTTACACTTTCAAAATTCAGGGAACTGTTGATCAATGCGATGTTGTTTGTAATTCGTTTTCAAATATGTTATTTTATAAGTAAAGGTATTTTTGTGGAAAGCTGTTACAATATATGCTTTGTATGCTTTGTTTTTTTCCTAAGGTGCGTTTTGATAGTATAGGGGGATTGAGCCATCATATCCTTGCACTTAAGGAAATGGTAGTGTTTCCTCTTCTCTATCCCGAAATATTTGAAAAATTCAAAATTCAGCCACCAAGGTAGGTGTATTTACTCTTATTATTGTATTTTTATTTTATTAAGCTCTGTGAAAACACATAGGAGATTGATTCTTTCCCTGAAGTGTTTACAGTTCAAATAGACTTACGTGTTTGCTACTTCACTTGTCTATCAGAATGTAAAAGCAGGATGAGGACTTATGAAAATCTAGTTTATTTTTCTTCTGGTAGGAAAGTAAACTTCGTGATTGGTCAAAGAAAGAATTCTCAAGTGTTCTGTTTAGTACCTTGCCTTTTTTCCCCATTATGTTATCAAATATTTTACTAAATCAAGCTAAATGCTGATGTTTCTTTTATAGAAGTAATCTCAATAATGTTATATTGTGGTTTTAATATTTATTAATCATGCATCTTGGTGTGTGATTTAAATGGGTACACATAATCTAAGTAAATTAAAAATTTTGGGATATTTTTGTCATTTAAAGGAAGTATGTCTCTCCAAAGAAGTAACAAAAACTGACTCAAGTAGTACCTAAGATTTAATACTTGAGGAGGTATTTAACTAGCGTAAAACAATCCTTTGGGAGCTTCATATGCCTTTGATTAATGCTCTCTACAAAGCAAAGATTTACTGATTTGAAAGCATAAAACAAACTTAGATTTTATGAAGTCATGTTGAATACACTAAATAATAATACTGGAACTTTAGTCTTTCTTCTCCAGGCTCCCTGTCTTCATTATAAAATTTGACTTGGAGTTTTTCAGGAGACATAAAATAAGTTTGTGACTGTGTTGATCCATTTATCTTCAGGGGCTGTTTATTCTATGGTCCTCCTGGAACAGGTAAAACCTTGGTAGCTAGAGCTCTAGCTAATGAATGCAGTCAAGGAGACAAAAAGGTGGCTTTCTTTATGAGGAAAGGAGCAGACTGTCTCAGTAAGTGGGTTGGTGAATCTGAACGTCAGCTTCGACTCCTTTTTGATCAGGTTAGAAGAAAATACATATTTTTCATATAATTTCTCTGTAAGTTGTCTTTTTTTGTATTCTAGGCAGCCAAACTTATTTGCAATTGAAACTAAATACCTGTAAGTTTCCATAGATTAGGCAGGATTTGTCCAAATTACATATTTAGATGAAGAAATAGAGGAATGCTGAGAACAGTTTTTCTTGCTCTGAAAACTGAGAGGGAGAAGTCTCTCAACTTGTCCATTAATGAAGCAGACAAAGTAGTTTGAGTAAAAATTGATAAAAATATTTAAATCGGCGAGTTTGAATTTGGCTGGCATGTTCAAGATAAATGCTATGTAGAGGAGGATGCAGGATTGCATCTGCTTGTGTGTGTATTTTAATATCCTTATCTGGCTTGGAAAATGATGGACAGAAGAGAGCGTCACATAAAGCAGTGAAATGTAGTTGTGCAAACAAAACCTCTTTTCAGACACAGATGTCTAAACAAACAAGTTGTGAGCAGATAATGTACTGTTTTCTGTAACTGAGTATAAGATGTCTCAGTTTGTCTTGAATCTCTCCAACACACAGTAGAACTGATACGCTGGTGCCATCTTGCTTATTCAAAGGAGAATGCAGTCTTTTTTGCTTTGAAACAGTACTGTAGTTGAAAATTCAATTTTCAGTCTATACACTTTTTAACGAAGGTGTCTTAATATATGTGTTAGTTTAGCATGTTAATGCTTTGTAATAAAACCAAACTGTTTTCTATGTTGATGGATAAAGTATGAATTAACAGTGAATTCAATTCTTTTTCTGTATCAGGCATACTTGATGAGACCCTCTATAATCTTTTTTGATGAAATAGATGGCTTGGCTCCAGTTCGTTCTAGTAGACAAGATCAGATTCACAGGTAATATTTCTCATATGCTACCATTATCTTGGTATATGCTACATTATCTTGGTAAACTCTTAAATGTAATTTTACTCAGTTCCCAAGTAAGGTTTTTTGCTTAAGCCCACTTACACTAGAAAGGACAGACTGTTGAGTTTTTTGGTGTTGAAAGTCATCTTCTCAGTTCTTCAGGCAGACTGTAATTTGCTGGGAATCGAGTTGTAGTGGAGATTACCCTTCAGCCACCACACTATTAACTTCAAGATTTCCACAGCCTTCCCTTTGGTTGCTGGTTTTGTACTGTAAACAGATTGTCTGTTACCAGCCCAATAGAATAAACAGTTGAAAAAAATTTTCTTGTAAGGTGATGAATTGTAATGTTCTGTGAATGAACCGGACACCCCTGCCCTTTTGATTCTGCATGGAGTGATGTGCAAACTTACCTTGAGTTGCTATTGTGTCATTTTTCAAAACATTTTTTTACAACCGTTTACGGCTGGCTGAAATTTTTCCTGGCTGCCTTCAGTCTCAGTTTTACTACACTTTTTGTGGCAATGCACTTGTATCTATCATTTTATAGGTGGTGGTATTTGTGTGTACATCTCCCTCCACTCAGCTGAGGAGGATAGGAGGGAAGTTTTGGGGCCAGCAGACTAGGAGGTTATGGGAACGTGTGGCTTTGTCTTGATGTGCCTTTCTTCTGCCTGGTGCTGCAGTTGCTCTAAACAGGACGATGCATACACTGTTAATGGAAGAGAACTTTTCAGAGCTGCAATAAATGGCTTCCTGAGCTCACATTCCCCAAAACTTTTGAAGGAGGAGGTTTGAATTTGATGTAATCCTTCCTGGAGTCGTAATATTAAGTATAATACAGATTATATCAAAAAGGTTCCTTCTTACTCTGAGGCTTGAAACAGTTATGCAACTGTTCTTTTAATTCAGCTTTTTTTCTTTGAAATTATGAATGTTACAGTTGAAAAAGTAAACATTCTTGCAGTGTTCCCTATACATTCTTTTTTTACAACCTCTTTTAGCTCTATAGTGTCTACTCTTCTTGCCCTCATGGATGGACTGGATAATAGAGGTGAAATAGTTGTAATTGGTGCTACAAACAGACTGGATTCTATAGATCCTGCACTCAGGAGACCTGGTCGCTTTGACAGGGAATTTCTTTTCAACTTGCCTGATCAAAAGGTAAAACTTACAGAGGAGATTTATTAATAAACGTTTATAGTGTATTAAACATTTGAATGCCTGACAACCAAGCTTATGAAATAAAAATATGCATTCTTACTTGTAAGAATGTTTAATTTTAGGAAGACATTTTTAGTAAAAACACACTGTATACATAAAGTTGTATTGAACTTCAAATCTTCAGAATATAGTTAAAACTAAACAGAGAGGTAAATTGTTCGCATTAAACTAAATTGCTTATTTAAAAACTGTGGTTTTGTATGGGTTTGTATAATGAATCGTAACTATTGGGGGTTTGGAAGTTATGGTAAGAGAAAATAGCTGCTTTATCATGTAGACTGCTAAGCACATAAAAATTGTACATGCAAAGCCAGGCGTTGTTATACTGGCAACAGGAACATTTCAGTTCCTTGTTCTAGACTTCTATAAACTCAGCCATAATATTTCATGAATTTATATTTAGAATTAAATTTACTTTGCATATTGATAGGTGTATTTGGATTCTATAGAATTTTAAAATGAAATAGTTTTGGAATTCCTGTGTATGTACTGTGCTACTCAGCAATAAATTAATTGGTGAGGCATTTGACAGTAGAAGCTGTTAATCATAGGTGCAGCAATTAAAAATTAAATTATGAAATTATGATAATTCCTAATAGAACATGAGTTTTGATCATTTTATGTATAATAATGCTGTTGATTAAACAGCAATTAAAATGTGTAACTGGTATACTGAAAAATTACTGCTTATATGAAATTAAAAAAGAAGGGAAAACCTTTGCTCTTGAGAGACTTTTGAGTGCTATTTTACACATCTCAGTGACATGTCAAAACAGGTAAAATAACTATATTCACATGAGTAAATAGTATTTTTGTCTAAAATATTATGACATGGATTTGGCTTGCTAATTTTGATCTTTTTTTTTCTTTTTTTCTTTTTTTTTTTTAAATCAGGCGCGAAAGCACATTTTACAAATTCATACCAGGGATTGGAACCCCAAATTATCAGATCCTTTCTTAGGAGAACTAGCTGAAAAATGTGTTGGTGAGTGTTATGATATTAGTACTTTTACTATAGATGCTTTCTCTTCTGTGTAAAACTTTGAAAGTATGTTAAATGTATCAGGATATTTTATTATTTTTACCTTTCTAAACTTCTGTACTTTCAACAACATTCTTCTTTTGGAATAACAAAATATGCTTCTGTCTTACTAAAACACGAAATGAGTAGCTAGTAGTTGTTTGAAAATACAATCATGTTTCCTTTCTGTAACATCACTGTCCTTATATAGGATGCATACCCTCAAAGAGAAGCAATATGAAGTGGGAATTGGAATCGTTAAGTAGACTTCCCATTAAAATAGTATATTCCAGAAGAGATAGGGAGACTTGGGGTTTTTCTGTCTACTTATTGGGGGGGAGGGGGGGAAATCAGTATTTGGTTGTTTTGTTTTTTTTTTTTTTTCCATTTTTACTGACTGGCATGCTCTCCTCTGACAGAAATCCAACAAACTAACCAGCCTTTCTAAAGGTGAATTTTTTTCCAGATTGCTAGCACAGAACAGCCCCAAAGTGTAGATAGAGGCAGGGGGGGAAAAAAGCACCACACCATGAAAACATTAAATATACCTTTGGAACGCCCAAAGACCTGCTGTACTGAATGGAGGATGGTTGTTCAAGATAAACCTGCTGCTTAAAAGCTAATCAGAAATAAACCCAAATGTTTTTATAGTGAACTTAACAGAGGAAATGACCCTAAAACACACACCACAATCTCTCCTCAACAATTTGTCATGCAAAGATACATCCTCTGTCAGTCATCTGCTTGGACAAGCACTGAAGTTCTCAGAAAAAGGACAGTCTCAAATATCTGTGCATTGGAATCCATCATCAGAGAAATAAGAACTTTAAATTGAACATCAGTCCATTCAGTCAGCTACAGTACATCCGAATTATCCTCTTCATCCACAGGGACATCTATCATCGAAGCAGCATACCTCCGCTTTTGATGCACAAAGACCTCAACATCTTCTGGTGAGGAGAAAACATAACTATCCAGCAAACTCCAGTTTAAGCTTTGCCGGGTATAAGACAGCATGTGCCAACCCATTTCATGTAAATTCTGCTTGATTTGTGGAAAGACGTGGTGCTGCTTAGTGGGAGAGAGGGGAATGGATGGGATAAAACCCAGTTGTTTCTTTGAAAATCCACCATATTTTTGCGTTGAGAACACAATTATGTATTTTAAAATTTCAGACCATAGGGAAAGCCGTTTGTAGGTTTGATTGGAAGACGTTCTTTGTGCTCAGTAAAGCCTGTCAGTTCTGTGGAAAAGTCGGCTAACAAAAAGAAATACCCTTTTCTGTTTTCTTTGGCTTTCCTACTGTCCAACTACTGTGCACTTGATTGTCTCCATTCTGTATCTTGGAATTTAAATGTTTCCATACATCCAACACTAAAACCTTTTGACTATTACAAGGACTTTTTAAAACAGCTGAAGTAAGACTGGTTTATCTTCTTCGTCTTGAGATTGCCTCATCATTTCTATAAGTGAAATCTGCAGCAACTAATTATTTGAACAGAGATTCCAGCTTCTTTGTGGCCATTGCAAATCGGACTCATTGGCACACTTGTCACATTGATACGGTATATACCAGTCTGGTATTTCCTCCTGTGCACAGGTTTTCTTTAAAAACAACCCCCCTTACCCCCAACCAATACCCCCTCTTCCCCAAGTAAAAGCTGCCTAGGCTCAACAGGCTTTTCGCACAGCATGGTTCATACCTCTCTCCAGTTCAGCAAACTTGGCAACACTTAACTACAAGCGTATGGATCCTAATGAAGAAAACTGCTGAAGTACTACCAAAGTAAATGACTTTGGGGAAGCAGGTGTATGTGCAACTCAGAACTTTTTAAGATCCAGGTGTGTAATTATAAAGAAATTAGAAGGGAAAAGCCCTAGGACTTGCAAAAAATAGGTTATTTCCTGAGGGTTGATTTTTGTCCCAGGTGTTATGGATTACATACCTTTTAGGAGATTTCTGTCCATGTGAGATTTAAAGAACCCACTTCACTGAAAGGCCACATGACTACAACGTGTGTGAGACAAAGTGAAGCAGCTTGGGGAGAGCATGGAGTTGCTCAGAAGACCACACACGGATGTCTTATTAGTACCTTCCATAAACACAAGTAATTACTATGGTTTTTTTCTCCTTACTGGAGATGGGCCCCAGACATCCTGAACTTTATAAATCCGTTCTTATCTCTTGTGCTTACTACATTGTTCTGAATGATAACTTTCTGTAGGTAGAGAGACTGTTACCTATTAACTTAGTCTTGTAGGAAACAAAACATATTAGCAACCGAAAAAGTGTGAATTCCTCCATCTGTCACCTTGCAGATGAATCTTTTTACAATGTAATAAGCGTTATTTAAATAATGCTAAATAGAATTGCAAAGAAGCAAATCATCATGCTCAAGATGCTTGTTAAAAATACTCTTATTCTGTGCTTATTATTGCAGGAGCATTTTGTGGCAGAATGGTATCTTGTTAGATTTTTCTTTCCCATCCTAATGTAATGATGGAGGGGGAAGTTTTGGCGTTAGTGTTCATGTTTTTCACAGTTTCTTAAAAAAATGTAGTTATTTTTCATTTCTGTCATCATGCTGAGTGGTTCGCTAACTCCCTTTCCCTGTAGTCCATTTCAGCAGTTGTAGGGAGTTGCATGACATAAATTGGAAGAAGTGGTCAAGATTGTTTGCCTAATCATTTCACCCAGTTCAGCAGCAGTTTGTTGTAGGTTTTTGGGGTGCATATTAGGCAGAAGAAATTTTAAAGAGGACATCATTTCTGCACAGTAGAGGTGGAAGAGTATGGCTTCAAAATTTCAGTGATCAAAGTGCAATCTTTGGAAACCTACATGGGAATCTACTTGTTTGCTGTCCTGCTCTTTGAAAGTTGTACTTCAAAAATGTTTAACAGAGTGTGGTGGTGATGGGTAGAACAAAATGGGCTACTTGGCAAGAATACTTGTTTTGTGCTAAGCTAAGGTGTGCCAGTACATTTTGCCTGCCAAATTGAACATCCTTTGTGAGATGCTTCAAAAATGGGAGCAAATGCACTGAACCTTGATTTTATATTATAGTGTCAATTTGGGCAAAAATAAATTCAGGTTATTTATTGTTGGAATGATACATTTTCTTTTGCTTTGACAATACTTTACTCATGTTTTTCTTCCTCTTAATCAGTGTGCATTTACTTCTTAGAAATAAAAAAGCTCTTTAATATTTCTCAAGATACAGGATTTTTGCAGTTTTCCTGTCACTGAAATGGATGTATAGTATGCACAAGAGAGTCCCTCAAAAAGAGACACCAATTATTAGTCTTCAAATGTAATTGCTCCTGAGAAATGAAAAGTAGAAATGGAGACTAATTGTGTATCTGATCACCTGAGAATTTAATTTTAAAAATAGGCTACAGGCTATTATTTCCTAATTTTGCAATTCTTTGGAGATGTACAAGCGGTGATTAAAATGACTGTTAGAAAGCGGTATTACAGCATTTATTAATAGAAAAATTGGAAAGGATATAGCTCCTGAGCTGCTGAATCTTTTGTCACAAAGATACCTAGCTAGTTTTTAAGGTGACAGGCATTCAGGGTGCTATATATCTCTAGCACATCTTTGATTTAAGCTTTGGTTTAGTGCTCCCCAAAATTTTTTGTTTAATCCAGTATGCTTGTTAGATGAGAAGTGGACCAATTTAAATGGAATTTGATAGCTGATATTGAAAGAACAAAGCAGAATTTTGAGGCAAAACCTTGGTTTTGATTTCTCTGATGTACCTGTAGCTACTGTCTAATGGGATCACATGGTTGATGGAGTGTGCCTGCATGGTTTTGATTTCATGAAGGGGGTTAGTTAAAAAAAAACCAAACAAAACTTAGTGCTGAAAATAATTAGTTGCCTATTGATTAATATACTGGATGTATTTGAACATATTTCAAATGTCATGTGTATTTATTTCAAGGTAACTTATGAGTGTGAATTGCTACATACTTTTTAGATAACAGTCAGTGTGTGCTCATCAAGTTTACACAATTATAGCTACTAACCTTTTTATAAAATTGGAAAGCTTAGTTTAAAAGTTGCAGAAGGAGTCTGATATTTATGGTGATCTTCCATCTGGGTTTTTTTTTTCTTTTTAAAAATTATTTTCAAGCATATATGAGAAACTCGTGTGGAATTTGAAGTCTCAGCTGATTTAAGTCATCTTTATAGCTGAAAAGTCGGTATCTTTTATTATTATCCCCCAAATTTATATATCTGAAAGATGGGGATGGAAAATTGTCTATCTTCCGTATTAATTGCTTCCTTTTTTATTTTTCAACTTTGTGTATGGAATCAACTTTGTTCCTTGTTGCTGTATGGATCTTGTAAAAATATGTGTGCCAGCAGCGTTGAAAGAACATCAGAGGATAAAGAGAGAGAAACAAGGCAGGCTTCAGTTTTGGGATTTGGTGCTGCCAGAAGACCAATACAAAAATAGAGTAGAAAAGTGCAAATGGTGTAAGTCCTGGTGGGGAGGAGGAAGTCTGGTTAAAAAAAACTTGATTGAGAATAATTTAACTAAAGAATCGATTAATTAGCTTCTACCATGAACCATAAACCTTTATGTGGCAATACCTCAGTGCAACACGTTTTCCTATAGTGACTATAATTCTCTAAAAGAGTTTTCCCACTGGAATAATGTTTTACATTTTTTGAAAGATGGAACTATGGTGCTACAAAATACAGTGGCATATTAATGTCTTTTGCTGAGAGAGATGGAAAAATTTTAAATCTAATTTCTAGCTCAGGGGAAAACCCCAAACCATTAGTACTGCAAAAGACACAAGTATTAAGTCTCTCAGTATTTCATAATTATCAGATCTGTGTTTTTCAGTAATGATGATTAAGCAATTATAGGTAGCCACCTGTAGATATTTATGAAGCTAGGCTAAATTAAAATTCTAATGCTTTTTAATAGTTTTTTTACTCTTTCAGTTATATTAGTAAAATCATGAAACTCTAAAAAGTCTGAAACGTTTTTCTTGATAGTAAAAGTTCACATTTTTCCAAGAGTCCACAGTATGCTTTTTTAACACAGATTTCATCCTTTCCATATTCTACTCATGAAACATTTTTCTTTATACTGCTCATTTTCTCAGTCTGTAAAAGTTCAAAGTTGGTGATGTTCATCCAGTATAACAAAATTACTTCGCTATTAAAAAATAGATTCATGTAGACATATTAAAGTAAAAAAGGAAGAGAGAGGCTAGCCTGTTAAAATTGCACACGTACTTTAGATAATATTAAGGAGAAAGGAAGAACAATGACAGGCTTTTAACCCTGGGCTGAAAATACGCTATATATCGCACTATATAGTGAAAATGTAAGTCATTATAATCTCAATGTGGAATTAATTTCTTACTGTATTTCAATGTACCTGTACATAATTTCTTGGTACACAACACTGGCACTGGATTATGACCTGATACCTTTTGGCAGATGCTTTGTGGACCTTGACAATTAAGTATTACTGATTGGTTTTAGCTTCAGGCACGTTTGAAATATATGTAGCACAGCAATGCTATTTCATGGAAGATATTTTTGTTTTTGTGTGCACTAGGGTACTGTGGAGCTGACATAAAAGCACTTTGCACTGAGGCTGCCTTGATTGCCCTGAGACGACGCTATCCCCAGATTTATGTGAGCAGTCAGAAACTACAGCTTGATGTTTCTTCAGTAGTTCTCAGCGCACAGGATTTTTATCATGCAATGCAGAATATTGTGCCTGCTTCCCAACGTGCCGTGACATCTTCAGGACATGCGTTATCTCCCGTGATCAGACCACTGTTGGAACGTACCTTCACTAACCTTCTTGAGGTTTTACACAAAGTGTTTCCTCATGCTGAATTTAGCCAGGGTGACAAAAGTGAAGGTATGTGGTTTGGGGAATTTTTTGCAAATGCTGTTGCAATTTGGAAATATTTCACCTGGCTTTCTTGTATTGCTAGCCTTAAATCTGATGTGTATTTGGTTCAGTGTTGTTAGTACCTAAATACAATGTGCTTGGATGTTGCATAATTTTTTTTGCTGATTCAAAGTTGCTGTGGAATTTAATAAACTGACCTATATAGACCAAGATCCCGTAGGTTTGAGTGCCATCCGAAAAAAGGAGAACCCCCAAGTAATTTACAAATTAAATATGAGCAATAATGGGGCATGATCAGATGGCAGAACAAAAGAAAATAGTGAGATAATGTTGCTCAGTGTGTTACGACCTGAAATTGGTGCTCCTGTCCTGAGTGTCAATTAGCTGTCCCCAATCCTTTGCTTGTTGATGGCGCAGAAGCAGGCTGCAGAGTGCTATGGGGAGCTCGCAGCTCAGCAGGTGAGGCTGTGGTCAGCCGAGATACCTGAACCTATGTAATGGTCATCTGCTGGTTAAGGAGAAAGTCCTGAGGCTTCCCTCCCCTTGAACTGGCCTGATGCACTCCTGATCCTCTGAGTTGATTCTGCTGGCTTAGTAAGTGGAGAACTATTTGCTGTTTTGTCAAGTTGGCTTTTTGCCAAATTAGCAAGCAAAATCAGCTCACTAAGGGGTCAGATGTATGCCAGAACCCTGCTACAATTGGAGCAATGTGAGTGCATTGAGGAAGCAGGGAATAAGAAGGAATGTGACTGGCTGTTTTGACTGGCAGTGAGTCAATAGGTGCTGGCTTTTTTTTACCCAGCTGTTTGCTGAGACATACTTTAATAGTTACCCTGGTCATTTCTTGGAAGTTAATAGTATGAGACCTACTTATTCTGGCATACTATTTTCTACCATTCCTATCTGGGATCACCGTCCCCCTCCACGTAAACAGTACTTGTGGTTGTGTGTGATTAACTTGAAAATAGCCCAGTCATTAAAGGAAATCTGTGACAGCCATGACTTTCTTTTCATTCCTGTTCCAGAGCGTGCTTTCAGACTGCAGCCCAGGCAGCTTAAGCTGATCCTTGTGCTGGCTGCTGCAGTTCCTCCAGCCCAGCTGTGCATTTTTGCTCTATCCCTTGCACTTACTTTAGTACGTCAGGCCCTTTGTTAAACCATTTTAGCCAGCAAACTCATCCAAAATTGATGTATTTTTGCCAGGTTAGTTTTCTGCTGACTGTGGGATGGCTGGAGGTTTTAGCAAGTGTTGGAGTTGGCATGAGATGGGGCCTGGGAGCATGTGGCGGTGGGTAGGGGGAAGTGAGCTGGCTTGCAGCTGCAGTTAGATCGTATTAGGCTCCCTCGATCATACTAGGCTCTTGTAACCGAAATTGTTTAAGATGCTTAAGTCTCTTTGTATACTGTTAACCTGTTGGTAATGCCTGATTTTGAGGTTGTCATTATTGCTGAAGAAGTGAATTAGGTGTCCCTGTGTTTGTTGTAAAGTTCTAGTTCAGAATAATTTCTTTGGTTACATTCTTTACATTGCTATTTATTTCTGCTCGTTATTGCTAACAAAGTGAGCTTGGAAGCATTCTTTGAGTTAAATAGTAGTTTTACTAGATAATTGTGCTGCTATGGTTACTTTTAAATGTTTGTAGATAATTGATTTTGAAGATAGAAGAACTAAGGGTTTTTTTGAAGTTTCTTCTGTACCTTAGTTTTTCTTCTTACTCCGTTAAACCCAAGAAAATATTGAATAATAAGCTTAATCTGTGTTAAAAACAGCAAAATCCACTTTCACATACAATGATTTTAAATTTAAATGTAGATTACACACTAGGGCTTCAGTTTTTCTTTAATTCAGAGCTAGGTATATGGCAGATGCTTACTGGTGTACTCACAATCTGCAAATCTAGTTTTCTACATGTCTTTGCAGTTCACTAATGATTCCTGTTTCTCGTAATTCAGTGACTCAGGTGCTCAAGCAATGTCACTGAGTCTTGCTGCTTGGGATTAAAAGATGGGCTGACTTTTTTAATAATTATATTTTTTAGGAAGCAAAAGCTGTGTCCAGTGCATGAGCATAGGACATACCCTATGGGTCTACATTTAGTATAACAAAAATTCTGCCTGTTTAGGGACTGCAGTGAGCCAAGAATTAGGAGGCCTGTGTCCAGCTGATTTGAAGGCCTCTATCCTTGCCCAGAGCTGAATGTCCAGCAGTTTCTGACCTGCTTTTTCTTGCTATGGACTAGCTTTTGGCCACTGGTTGGGGTCTGCAGGCCTTTTTTATCTTTGCTCCCTGAGGAATGATTGTCAGGTGTGCGACTGCATCGTGCCTTGCCAAGGGCATGATGAGGACACATCCTCATCCCATACCAGTAGAATATTATTCCTGCCCAGCCTACTCTGAATCCAGTTTCTTAATCACACAGCCAGCTAAGGGAACCTCTGCTGTCTCTCATCAATTTTTCCTGGGATCGTATGTCTAGATGCATAGCCCTCAGATGGCATCTCCATCCAATGCTTAACGCTGCCTTGAAGTTTAGTCTTTTGTCCCATGGTAGTGGTTTGTAATCAGTGTAGCAGTACCTGTGCCATGGCTTCATGTAAATCAGGCAAATCGTGTGGTGGGTCGTATGTTTGAGAATAACACTTAGATCTCTCTGCATTTCATACTTTCATTTCACAGCAGTCCATTTTTCTAAGTAGCTCTGGCCAACTTGAGCTACTGTTAGGAGGTCCGGTGTTTGCCCTGAGCAGCAGTGTGCTGCAGTGACTCTGCGCTGCTCTCAGAAATGCTGCCCATCCATCACAGAGCGTTTTGTTCCTCAGGAGACCTGGCTTCTGCACTGCTCTTACTGTACAGCTGAGTGGCTGTGACCATTTTCATCCCATTGTTGCAGACTGATTTCTCTATGGGAATGAGAATGAGTGGTTTGCTTAGGGTAACATCAACTAAACTCTTTTCCTGGGCCAAATAAAGATCTTGTCGCAGTTTATTTCCCATTATCAAATTGCAGCAGTCTACTCTTAATCCCGTTGCAGCTCTGATAGCTAATTTAGCTGTACCTGATTTTCAGTTGTCAACTGGTGGTTTTGGTTTAGTGCCATATTTGTATTTTTTGCAGTTGTTTGTCCCTGCAGTCTGTCTTTTGAATGTAATCAGTCTTTTAGCTTTTTGTTTCTGAATGTCTATATAGAAAGTACTCAGTTCATTATGCTACTATATTAGCAAAGAAATTAAAATAGGTTAAGGTATAGTATATGAACATGGAATGAATTGAACTGATTTTGATAAAAAGTAATTTGATATTCTTTGGCAGATTATCAGAGGGTGGAAAACAATTCTTCATAAACATATACATTATCTAGGTAGTCGTGCTGAGAATAATTTGGAAGAAGTGTACCTGTAAAAATTTGGGCACTTAGAACAAATAAATAAGTACAAAATTCTATGTAGTCTGAGGAATTACAGATTTTCTAACTTTAACCTTGAAAAGTCTCTAGCTGTGAAATAAAACGAAAGGAAGCATTTCATAACAAGTTAAACATTTGTCGTAGTCATGAAGTTTTTCTGCTTGATGGTTTAAAAAAATAAATTGTAATTATGATTAGACTTCTACAATATTTACTTTGTTTTGGTTTTTGAAGTAATAAGTACTTACTATTCTGTGTTCTGATACTTAGACAGTTTTAATTCATTTTTTCTACATTTGAAAATGTGTTATAATTTACAGGAAGAAAATAGTAATGTCTTTTCTTGCTTGTGCATGTACTTAGAAGTGATAAGGTTCTAATTAATATATTTCTTGGAACAGATGTACCAAGTCTAATACTAGATGATAGTGAAGATGAGAATGCTTCATCAATTTTTGAGACGAGCTGTCACTCAGGATCACCAAAGAAACAGTCATCAGCTGCTATACATAAACCCTACCTTCATTTTACAATGTGAGTGTTTCTCTAAATGCATATAACCAGATAGATAAAACCATGAAATTCTTACATCAGGAGAGGTAACAAAGATGATCTTTTGCTTTGTGGTGGCAATGGTGTTCTGCAATAGAAACATGTAAGTGTATGGACAAGAGTTTTAGATATGTGAATGGTCTTAGGAAAGGCCACATCCTAGACACAGTAATCAGAAATATGTTGCAACAGACAGGTGTAGCTTAGAAGTAATGATGTTAACAGCAATTCTTAATTGTAACAAGGCATTTTGATTTGAAAGATTAAGAACTGGGAAGAGAGGTATGTAGGAATATTTTGGAGGGATCGTTTGCTTTTTCTTGGTCTAAAGTATTGTTGAGCTTCAGTATATGCAGCTGTTTGGATGCATTATATAATTAATGCATTCAGCATTTCTAACATTTTTTTCATTGCTTTTCATGGAAAATGTCAGGAAAATGGGAATTTAGAAAGTGTGTGAAATTTGGAAGAGTCTTTCTTGTATGAATTGGACTGGTTACAGTAATTAACAATAACAAACTAATAAACTAACATTTCTTTGTTTTGTATTAAGAATAGTTTTAGACTACTTTATGTGATGGGTTCTGCAGGGAGTTTGCTAAATAAAGAAAATGATGTTAGGAAAACTGTTCAGTAGTAGTACTGTTTAGTAGAGCCATCTTGTGGAAGACTGCTAAAAGTTTTGTGCTAAAAGAGTGATGCCAGAACAGCATTTATGGAAATCTAAGCTTAGGGATTTAAGTTCAAGTAGTTTGAGGTACATAATCAAGTATTTTAATGCTGGACTTAAGCTTTTGTTGTAAGGGCGGGAGGGGGAACCCAAAACCAAAACAACAATATATGTTTGTGTGGATGTGTGTCTAAAGAAAACAATCTCGAAGAGTATGTTTATTTTTGTAAAGTATGTAAGCCTCCCTTAATCTGTCTTTCTGAGCATTTTTGATTGCTATCTGTGTGTGTGCAACCTCCACCAGCAGAACTGAAAAGCCAAAGGTCAGCTTCATAGCTGTTACAAAATATTTAACCTGAAATAAAACCAGCCAGTCTTGTTTCACTGCCCGAGCTGATTGATGTGCAGATAAAAATGCCTTAATGAGAGAAAATGCAAATTAATTAAAAAACTTCCTTGTTTCATAATCAATTTTCTATAAATGGAAAATACTTTTAATGGAAAAACCTAATGTTTCTCTCTTCATGTCTCACTCGTCTCCAAAACAGGGCAAAAAAACCCTAAAACAAACAAACAACCCCCCCCCAAATCCTTGTATGGACTCTTTAGGATTTCTTCTCAACAATGAAAACAAATAAGTTTACTGTTGCAGTTTTTCCTTTAAAATCTTTCTTCTGTCTGGAAATCTACTAAATAGAAGCGTCATGAATATGCTAAAATAGAAGATGAATAGTGATTTTATTCAATCCTACTTCAGGTCGTATTTCTTAAACAAGCAAACTATTGAAATGTTAGGTGGTTCTGGGAAATCCTGGGTAGCACTTTAAGGGATGAATGTATTGACCTGGGATTCCTGAGGCTGCTGACGAGATACTTTGGTAGTTAGGACTTAACTAGACATGATTAAATAGGTATCTTCACTGGAAGTCCTTTAAGTCTTTTTATGTGATCAAGGAATTGTTTTTAAATAAACTGCTTATAATAAAAGTTTTCATGAATATAATATATGCATAGCTTTGCACAGATGAGTTTGAATTAAATCGTGAAATCAAAGAATAGATAAAGCTCGGGTTACTGAGACTTGTAGTAGTATTGAGGTATACTAGAGTTAGTTGACTCTTTTAAGGCTGTTGTAGGAAACTATTATCCATTACTGAAGGTCTTTTGGATTCTAAAAAAAATCTTATTTTATATATCCATCCATTAATAACATCAGCATGTTAATTGTGTTTTGTAACTGTTGTGTTGCTGCAGGTCAGCTTATCACCAGCCAACCTCTTACAGACCAAGATTACTGCTATCTGGAGAGAGAGGTTCGGGTCAGACTTCGCACCTTGCTCCAGCACTATTGCACACTCTTGAAAAATTCTCTGTACACAGGCTAGATCTGCCAGCACTTTATTCAGTCAGTGCCAAAACGCCTGAAGAATCGTGTGCACAGGTGACATTTCAGATTCTCTTGTAATGAGTAAATTATGTAATTCTGGAACAGGATTAGTTGCATCAATATAAAGGCAGCTAACTGGAATGTAACTTAAAAGCCAGGTTTTCATAGGCTCCTTCTATTTTCATGTTTAAAAGAAAGGGGTCTCTAGAGGGTGATAGAGATCTCTCTGCTGACTAGTGAGAGTAATTACATTTTTAACTTGCCCCCTCAGTCACATACCTAATGTCAAGTAAGCTTAATCTGGGTATTTGGTTCCTGATTTTCATTTTATTAACTTGTGTATGAATTGGTGTGCTGTAGTTCTAGGTTCATTTACTTAGTTTAAAATGTTTTAGGTTTCAGAACAGTTTATGGTGGATTTTGCATGGATTGCAAACCAGTTTAATTTTCATCTTGGATGTTCAGTCTTAGCAAGTTTTTAAAACTTACATGACAAGTAGTTGTTTTGTAGTCTCCCTAGCACATTGATGTAAAATAATTGAATGATACAGCTAACAGTCACAAACACTTGTTTAGAAAGCCTTTATCATTAGATAATTTTATTTTACTGGAGCATTTGTATATCAAATACCACAAACATGAGTCATTTCCTAGTCCACAAGAATTTTATTACTCACAAGTGATAATAACAATTAGTTCCTTAGTTTAAATACCACTGTTTCTTTTAATTAGATCTTTCGTGAAGCTCGAAGAACAGTACCAAGTATTGTTTACATGCCTCATATTGGTGATTGGTGGGAAGCTGTCAGTGAAACTGTGAGAGCTACTTTTCTAACTTTGCTGCAAGATATACCATCTTTCTCCCCTATATTTCTGCTGTCTACCTCTGAGTCCATGTATAGTGAATTGCCTGAAGAGGTAAGTTCCTTGTGGAAGGAGGCGTTGTTAGGGAGGTATGTGCCTCTTCAGAATGTTTTGATCATGTAAAAACATTCTGTTTTGCACTGGTTTTCTAACTTAATTTAAAATATGTCAAACTGAAAATACAATATTAATTAAATGTTTGTCATTTTCTTTAATGAGGGATGTACATCCGTATTACCAATTTTCATAATTGCCATGCTACTTTGCTGAGAAGACAAAATTGTTCATTTTGTCAGTTGTTCATTTTGACAAATTACCCCAGTGTAATTAAATGCAGATTTAGTCTAAAGGCCTAACCTTTAGCTTTATATCCTCTGAGGTTCAGGATGGGGGAGGGAAGTTCTTGTTTTTTTCCTCAACATTTTCTTTGATTTTTTTTTTTCCTCCTGCCCGTTCTCCTCTTCACTGCAGAGATGGTCACTGTTAGGATCATGGGATACTGCAAGTTTAGTTACTACAGAAAATTCAGTGAGAAGTACGAGTAGTTGTTTTTCCTAGGCTGTGTACACAGCTTTGGGTGGAGTTTACTATCTTCTCTCCTGTGGCTAATTTTGAAAAGTTTGTGACTAGTGTTTTAATACGGTCATTAATCATGTATTTTTGGGGGCTCAATTTTCATATGGCTTTTTTTTTTTAGGTGAAATGTATTTTCAGAATCCAGTATGAAGAGGTTTTTTATATTCAAAGACCAAGTGAAGAAGACAGATTGCGATTTTTCAAAGGGTTAATTCTTGATGAGGCAGCAATGCCCCCACCAAGAAGGAAACAGGCTGGTAAACTAAGTTACAATAAAACCAATAATAATGTGATCTGAATGTTTTCTCGTCATATTTTCCTTTTTCAAAAGGTGTGGGTAAATGACAGGTAGTGTAATTAGCATTTGACAGTGTTAATCAGTGCCCAGAATAAATTTCGTGCATTACAGTTACCAGTTTTGGAAAACGGAGAGCTGTGGGGTTAAGGATGCAGTGATAGATCAATGAGGCAGATTAAATATATAATGAAATTTGGAGTGGCATAATCCCAAGAGCCACTATGTTGTTAATATTTCCATTGTCTGACTTCTTGTTTTTTCCCTAGCTCTTCGTGCTCTGGAAGTTCTTCCTCTTGCACTGCCATGTCCTGCCCGTGAGCTGTCAGAAGCAGAAAAACAGCGAATGGAGGACCAGGAGGAGAACACATTGAGAGAGCTGCGGTTGTTTCTCAGGGATGTTACCAAGAGGCTGGCCACAGACAAACGCTTTAACATCTTCAGCAAACCGGTGGATATTGAAGAGGTCTTGTTTCAGTAATGTGCAAACAATGAAGTTGAAACTATTTAGAAAAAGAATATAAATTAAAAAAAGGAAATGGATAAGTTAATAAGAAAAATAGATGTTTGATCCATGATCTTTCCAATCTAAAATGCTGATTTTTAGCTGGTGAGATAGTCACAGCCTCATCTGTGGTGCAAGGAGTTGGAGCATGTTCTTTGGCTATACCAGTGACCTATTGAAAAATCTTGTGCATTCCTGTCAATTTTATAGCTGAAATCAGCATTTAAAAATGCCACCACTCCTATCCCTACCTGTGCTCCTTAAATATTTGAAACCATAAATATAGTTCTTTAATAAAAGCGTTTACAACATTCTAATCCTATAGGCATGCTAATATTGGGAAAGTGATCCGTGTTCTATAATGTATTCAGCATTAGTGATATTGTTGAATAATTTCAGCAGTAATACTTGTGGATGCCATTAATCACAGATGGTAGCACATTATAAGGCATTAACTGGTCGATTATGGAGTGTGCACACCTAACTGATGAGACAGTTCGATCTGCAAATCTATTTTCAGGTGCTGCTATATGAATAGGATTGTGTTCGGCCTGACTTTGAGATCAGATGCTGGCCCAGTGCAAGCTTTGCAAGCTTACCAATTAAAAAAAAAAATGCTTAATTGCTTCTAAAGAGAAGCATCTCTTTTGGAAGACATTAATAGATGAATATGGGACGTTAGAAGTACGGCATTGTAAAAAGCAGATTTGTAGTGTTAATTCCATGCAGGATGGAACAGGCATCTTTTATGGGTCCGTGCAGTCCTCTCTTAATTTGAGCTTTCCATAGTGTTCTGTAACTGACTGGTTTTGAAAGACTGACAAGAGCTCTTTAACGTGGCAACGTACAGTGTGAGCATGGTCTAAGCAGTAACTTTGTTTGATTTTTCTTTTTTTTTTTTTTTTTTTAAATGAGACTGCTTGGGATGTCCCTTACTGTAGGAAACTCTTCATACTCATAGTAAAGGCAGTTTCTTTCCCCAAAGAACTTTTGCTCTAAATGTCCTGGTTCCGGCTGGGACAGAGTTAATTTTCCTCCTGCTAGCTGGTACAGTGCTGTGTTTTGGATTTAGCACGAGAATAATGTGATAACACACTGACATTTTAGTTGTTGCTAAGCAGTGCTTATACTAAGTCAAGGACTTTTCAGCTTCCCATGCTCTGCCAGTGAGGAGGTGCACAAGAAGCTGGGAGGGGGCACAGCCAGGACAGCTGACCCCAACCGGCCGAAGGGATATTCCATACCATGGGACGTCATGCTCAGTACATAAGCTGGGGGGCGTTGGCCGGGGGGGCAGCGATCACTGCTCAGGGACTGACTGGGTGTCAGTCGGTGGGTGGTGAGCAGTTGCATCACTTGTTTTTCCTGGGTTTTGTTCCTCTCTTTTTTGTTGTTCTCATTACAATTTATTTTATTTTATTTTATTTTATTCCAATTATATCCAACTGTTCTTATCTCAACCCATGAGTTTTCTTACTTTTGCCTTTCCAATTCTCTCCCCATCCCACTGGGTGGGGAGGGTGAGCGATTGGCTGTGTGGTGCTTGGTTGCCGGCTGGGATTAAACCATGGCACTAAATTTATGCGAATAAGGGCACATAAAGAAAGAACAAATTACCTTCCTTGTCTTGTAGATGGAGAATCAAAATGTGAATTTGTTATTTAAAGACTTGCCAAAACCCCTGCTAATATATCACAGCACTAGAAACTGAATGTAATCCTTTTCGTCCCACCTGGTGCATTTAAGCACCAGACTATCTTTTCCTTTTCTACAAGAGCCTGTCTGCTTGACTTTCTGAGAAAATGTGTTAAGTTCGTTCCACTCCTACTTGTGTTGCAGAGAATGCTGCTACGTGATAAGTCAAGGATTTTCCTGACTAATTCAGCAGCAATATTTACAGTTTCCAGTGAAGGTTCCTTCTGATGATGTGCTAACAAGAAAAGGAAGCCTGTGTCTTGGCTTTCCAATCACTGAACCAATTATCATCATGGTTTCATAGAGGGAGACAAAAAGAGATTTTTTGCCATTTTAATTTTTCATCATAAATTTCAATGTGTATATTTAAGGAATTAGGTGATAGACTGCTGTCCACTGAAGTAATGCATTAATGTTAGTTTATGTAGTACTATACTTTTGTATGAATGTCTACAGATACTTTATTAAAAAAAAAAAAAATCTTACGGAGCCGTTATGGCTTGATCTGAATATGTATTTAACTCTTCAGTATTTTGGCAGCCTACCATCTTACATAGGTGATTTCAAAAGGAAAAACGCAATACTGTTTCTGAGGCTGCCAGTATTTTTAATGGATTGTAGTCTTAATCACATTGAAACATTGACGTATAGGGTTTTTTTACTTGAAGTAAATAACAAATTCATAGATTTTTTTGCTGAACTTTGTTCCAGCAGCTGTGCTGATGCATTTGACTATGAAGCTTGAGCCCCTTACGGTACCATTAATTATGTGAAATACTTTTTAGTGTACCCTACTGGTTGCTAAATCTCCAGTTACGAGCTAAGCTCATAGTAAGCTGTGACCTCTGACACAAGGCTTTCTCTTTAGACTGCCCTTCTCTACAGTCTTCAGTCGATAAAGCCTGACTTTTTTGTTGAGCATGTGATTGAAGGAACTATTCAATAGAATATATTTAAAAGCTGATAATTTGACTGTTCATTTTAATAAATTTTCCTACAAGGTGAACAAAATATAGCTTCCCTAGTTTTTCCTAGGGTTTTGAGTTAGGCTGGTTGTTTTTGCCTTTCTAACCCGAGACAGTGTTAGAACACTATGAAAAAAAAAATCAGTCTAAATAAAATTAAAAATACATTTATGTTAAAATGTTTTGCCTCAAAAATACCATTAAATTAATTTTGAAAGATAAATTGGTGACCTAGTGAAGAAAAAGTAGCTTTGGAAGTCCTGTGTTTTATTTAGTCTGCTAGAACTTCCTTTTTCAACATAAATTCTTTTAGAAATTAAAATGTTTAGTTACATGTATTAGAGCTAAGCATGTGGAATGAATAAGACTATAAAGATGTGAAATTGGTGCTGTTCAAATGGAATGCATATGGTCCTGTGTCATTTCTGTATGCTATTTGTTTATAGGTTTCAGATTACCTTGAAGTCATCAAAGAGCCAATGGACCTATCAACAGTAATAACCAAAATTGATAAACACAACTACTTAACAGCCAAGGACTTCCTAACAGATATTGACCTGATCTGCAGCAATGCACTGGAGTACAATCCAGACAAAGATCCTGGAGGTAAGGACCTACTTCATTTTGGCCTACCTAAACCCAAAAGCCTGGTATTTAATCACATATATGGTTGCTATTCAGGCATTTAAATAAACTGCCTGCTATGTGATAATTAGGATAAGCAGGTCCTAAGGGTCTGTGCTTTTAGTATTCTGAGGTGTGCGGTGCACTGGGGGACATTGCAAGAGCAGGAGAACTACAGCATTGAGTTGTTTTCTAATAAATTAGGTTTTGTAGTTCCTTTTCAAATTTGATAGCTCCTTTTCAGTGAATAGACTTTGTATATGCAACAAAACCCCAACGTAATTTGGAGAGCTCTGTAGAGAATCCTGCACGCAGTCTGGCAGTGGCCTGCTTTATTTCCACATTGGCTTAGAACATGAAACTCACAGAAATTAAGAACTATGTTTTTGGGGATAGAAATAAAACAGGATAAATCATAGAATCATAGAATGGTTTGGGTTGGAAGGGACATTAAAGATCATCTAGTTCCAACCCCCCTGCCATGTGCAGGGACACCTTCCACTGGACCGGGTGGCTCAAAGCCCCATCCAACCTGGCCTTGAACACTTCCAGGGATGGGGCATCCACAACTTCTCTGGGCAACCTGTTCCAGTGCCTCACCACCCTCATAGTGAAGAATTTCTTCCTGATATCTAATCTAAATCTACCCTCTTTCAGTTTAAAGCCATTAGCCCTTGGCCTATCACTACAGGCCCTGGTAAAAAGTCCCTCTCCAGCTTTCTTGTAGGCCCCCTTCAGGCACTGGAAGGCTGCTAGTCCGCCTGTCTTCATAGGAGAGAGGTGTTCCAGCCCTCTGATCATCTTCGTGGCCCTGCTCTGGGCTCACTCCAACAGGTCCAAGTCTTTCTTATGTTGGGGGCCTCAGAACTGAATGTAGTACTGCAAGTTGGGGTCTCACGAGAGCGGAGTAGAGAGGGAGAATCCCCTCCCTCGACCTCCTGGTCATACTTCTTTTGATGCAGGCCCAGGATACGATTGGCCTTCTGGGCTGCAAGTGCACATTGCCGGGTCCTGTTGAGCTTCTCATCAACTAACACCCCCAAGTCCTTCTCCTCAGGGCTGCTCTCAGTCCATTCCCCACCCAGCCTGTATTTGTGCTTGGGATTGCCCTGCCCCATGTGCAGGACCTTGCACTTGTCTTTGTTGAACTTCATGAGGTTTGCACGGGCCCACCTCTTAAGCCTGTCCAGGTTCTGGATGGCATCCCTTCCCTCCAGTGTGCTGACCGCACCACACAGCTTGGTGTCATTGGCAAACTTGCTGAGGGTGCGCTCAATCTCACTGTCCATGTCGCCAACAAAGATGTTAAACAGCGCCGGTCTCAATACCCAACCCTGAGGAACGCCACTCATCACTGGTCTCCACTTGGACATCAAGCCATTGACCGCAACTCTTTGATTGTGTCCTGGTTTTGGCTGGGATAGAGTTAATTTTCTTCCTAATAGCTGGTATAGTGCTGTGTTTTGGATTTAGTATGAGAATAATAATAATAATAACCACAATAGAGTGGGACCATCCAGCCAATTCCTTATCCTTATCATCAGGCAAGGAAGTCAGTTGCAGCTGATTAGGAGAGATTAGAAGGTATTGTCTTGACAAAGTGTGATGTGATGCTTTCAATTAAAATGGAATTTGTAGATTGAAATGTATGTACAAGCTGTTCACACTCAAAACTAAGGAAAGAACATCTTGTGTACTCTGCTAGGGCCGCCTTATAGTGTACATTGCCAAAAGTAAGCCTTTCCATTGGCAGCTTCCAGAGTCACCAATAAAACAACAACAGCAGCAGCACCCTTTTAATGTAGTTGTATTTAATATAAGTGATACTTGGAAATCTGGGTCCATCTGCAAATGTAGTCCAATGCGTTAAAAAGTTTTTCATTAAATCTTGTGAAATCATTTTACCAGGTTAAAGCCTGATTTCCTGTATTTTTCTTGCTTTGCAAATTTTTGATTTTCTGAGGCATTTGCAAACGTCTCCTGTGTGGACTAGATACAGTATAGTCTGGTCAAGTAGTTATGCTTGTTTTTCACATTTGCCTTTTGAACCCAGTGCTGGTTCATATCTGTAGAAAATAAACTTTATTTCTTCAATTTATGATGCATTTTGTTTTACAACTAAAAAAAATACATTGATAAAATACAACAAAAGGCTTTCTGTCGTCTTGATAACACACTTTTGAGGACTTATAATGTGTGATTGACATGAACTAATCAAAGCCCTTGATGGACACTTGGGATTCTGAGTGTCTCTGAAGAGCGCCTGTTTAGAAGATGAGGACTATGAGACATACTTTCTGCAGGCGACTGACATATGTTTGTGACTTAGTGATGGGCTTTGGGAAAAACTGGCATTAACATACACCCTTTGTTCTCATTTTTAGGCCATTTGGATCTGTGGGCTTGGTTTTTCAATTCTAGGAAATGTAGTCTGAAGAGGTTTTTTTTAAGTTTTAGAGCAGGTGTTATGGGACTACAGACTTCTAAGGTCAGATCTGCTCAGGATCATAAACAACACAAGGCGCAGGTTCAGTGTGGCAGAAACAAAAAATAGCAAAGACAACTTGGGGAACATTTAGTGGCAGAAGTTTTCACTGAGCTTGTCCGAAGAGAAGGAGTCTTAAGAAGTATATGTAGGGAACCAAAATAGGGACATTTTAGTTTTCCTTGCTGTCATGACTGAGCTGGGATAAATGGATCTGGCTATTTCTAGGTTAAGTTTTGGACTGAAGTTCCTCATCATTGAGTAGGTAATGAAAGATAGTTCTGTCCTCTGCGTTGTCAACAATTGATGATGTGTTGCTCTTCTGGCATGCAAGAATTCTTGAGCCTTTGTATGAATACACTGCTGAAACAGCACATCAGGTCTATTCTGAGTAAGCATTACATACGTTCAGATGCATTAACTGAATATTAACCTATAAATGTTCACATTCTTTAAAGCTGGGCATGTATGCTTGCCTCTGCTTCATGCTTGAATTTGGAGAAGAATCATACCATACCTGCTTCTATCCTGTCATTCAGTTGGAAAGGCAATAGGTGTACCAGACTAGCTGGTTTTATATACGGTACAGATATTCAAAACTGGCTTCTTTTGGGTTTTTTATCCTGGTACTTTGCTATAAAAAGCAGTAAGATAGGTTATAGGTAAGTATAGTAAGATACGTTGGGTTTTTTTCCCCCTTTCCCTCCATTGTTTGACCAGGAAGTGTTCTTAAAGGCATAGAAACATAACCATTGTGTGTTAGACATAATCGTATTTGCCTCTTTGATGCACTGTCTGTGGGAAAGTCTTGCCCATCACAGGATATGAGGAAAGTAGTAGTTCAATTAAATACTCTTGATTTGAATTTTCTTTTTTTTTCTCTTTTTTTTCCTCTTTTGCGAGGGTGTCTTAAACTTTATTATCTGACCAACTTTTTGAAGTCTAATTTTGCAAAATTGCATCTGCAAAGAATGCAGTGTATTTTTTTGTGATCATAAAACATAATGCTTCACAAATATATGTGGGTAAAAATTTCTAGTTTCCGGTTGATTTAAGTGGCAGTACATGTCCCCAGAAAACCTATGTAGGGCTCATTTGAGCTGGATACTGGATATTCTTTTTCTAGAATTGTAAACCTTGTTTAATAAATGTTCACTGATATTCTTAATTGTTGTCTTTAGTGATTATTGAAACAGATTAAATCTGCTAATTGTATAATACGTTGTAGACATTAATGTTAATGTTTACTGTTGAAGTACCTCCATCAACTGGAAAAAGTAATTCAGTATGGATGAATTGACAAATATGTTTGTACTAAAAGCAAACAGTGAGTGTTGTAAGTCTCATTGAAAAGCAACATTCTAGATGTCAAATTTTTCTCCACATATGGGCTTACTAAGTTACAGTTACTTTTAAATTATTCCAACACTGTTGAAATTTGCTTTTGTGTGTTTCAAAGGTATGGGAACTGGTCTCTGAAAAAAATGTTTTTTCATGAGTCACATTTAGGCTTCCAGTGTGGGCAATATTTTTTCTTCTGTTCCCCAAATAGAGATGAAAAAGTAGCAAACTCGAGGCTTGTTTCTTGCCAGTTTTTCTGAATGGATTAAAATGAGAAATAGCTGTTCGATATAAGCAATGAAGTAATCTTTAGCACAATTTTGAATTTTCTAGCAGTTGTTAAGTAAAAATTTAGCAATAATTTAAGGTTTAAAAAAATAAACCAGGGGAGGAATATAAGCAAGCCAGGTCTACCTTACAGATTCAGGAGACGTCCAGTATGATTTTGAAGGCAGTATAACTGTATGAATGTTCCTAGACTCCAGTGGGTAAATTCATTCCTGGACAAGTCTCTTGTTGGTTTTGGGACTCTCTGCGCTGTACTCCCATTATACTGTGTAGATCTGCCTGTGGAAACTGGGTACACCTGCTGATTCTAGCAAGTTTCTAAGGATTGCAAGTTGATTTAGGTGTGTTCATCATTCACTGCTTGTATTTGTTTATAAATGCCACTAGTGATTAAAGTAACAATTTGCACTTCTGAAAACTCTTATATCTCTTAAAAAGCTGGGTTGTGATTTTTGAGCATGCTATGGTATTGATCCATCTACATTTTCATATATTTGTAATGTTTCCCAGTTACTTCTGTCTATATCAGTGTTGATATATATAATACAGAACAACATAGAAATGGTAAAGAATTTACATAATTGTGATAAAATTAACAAGTGTGCTGTCCTGTTTTCTAGATAAAATAATTAGACATAGAGCTTGTACTTTGAAGGACACTGCTCATGCTATCATCGCTGCTGAACTGGATCCAGAATTTAATAAGATGTGTGAAGAAATCAAGGAAGCAAGAAGAAAAAGAGGTATGTTTAACTTCATTTGTCATAACACAACATATATGGAATAGAAAACAGAATTTACAAATATCCATATAAAAATTTCAATTTAAGGTGAAGTATAGAATGCGTGTCAGACTCAGGCAGTGCACGTTAAAGGATGACTGAGCGTGAAACTTGTCTACTTTTTCCAACTGTGTGAGCTGGTCCAATAAGGCACCAACCTTCTTTACAAAAGAAGGATGCATTGCCTATTGGTACAAAAAGTATTGTGGAACATGGTGAAGAGATAAATGTTGGGATTGCTGTACTAACTGAAGATGTGGTGAAACCAGAGCTGTATTCTAAAAATGCCATGTAATGGCAGTGTAATAACAATTACGATTAGGCAGAAGGGCATTTAAAACAGCAGATTTTTAGTTCACCCTGGCATGTGTACAAGTGTACTTTTGGTGGTAATCTGTTGATTTTTTTGATTAAGAAACAACTATTACATCCACATTGAGGAGAGTATGAGGTTGACATTCTGATAGTCCAGAATCAGGAAATACAGCCCCCTACATTGGAGGACATCACTGACTTAGTTTTGTTTAAATTAGTGCAGTTGTTTTCAACTTGTAGTCCATAGACCTCCAAGTCTGTGGACAGCTTCTAAAGTGACCACAAAAGCTAATCAAAAGCCCAAACGTACTCCCAGTAGGGCTCTGTTTACATGAAAGATTCTGTACCTCCGTGGAAAATTTTTAAAGGTCTGACAGTTGAAAAAGGTTGAAAATCACTGAACTATAACATGAGAACAAAATTTCATGCTGATTTAGGGATTACTGATTTCAGTAATTCCAGCTTTACCTTGGCAAGTTGTTTCCTGCTTTGCCCCCTGCTTTGGTAAAAAACTGCATTATTTGATTTCTAGGTTGAATTTGGCTGGTCTTAACTTATAGCTGCTGGTTCTTGAAATACTTCTGTCAGTAGATTGAAGACCCTTTGTTAATAAATTTCTTTAAACTATCCAAGTATCTGTAGCCTTTCTCTTCTTCAGGTTAAAACGGATACAGTTCCTTTTATTTAACAGTTGGACTTGATGACCTTAAAGGTCTTTTCCAACCTAAGCGATTCTATGATTTTCCCATTCAGTCATGCATTTTTTTGTCTAATTCTGTACAAGCTTCCAATGTGCGTCTTGAATTGTGGATAAGAGAACCAATTGTAATTCACTGTGGTTGTAAAATAGAACTAATATAATGCCTTCATTTCTCCTCTGTACTTTTCTATTAGAAGTATAAGAATATTCACAATTCTGGCCTTAGTGTCATGCTGAGAGCTATGCTCAGTTAATTATCCATTATGAGTCCCCCATGATTGTTAAAGGTTATTGCTTCCGAGGTTAAAGTAGCTGTAAGAGCTCTTTGTTACAGAGAGTGACTTGTAAGTAGCTTGCAAGTCTCCCAAGAGGTGACTAGAACGCTGCCCTTCTTTTTGTGGCAGTGACCAAGTAATACATATTTCTGGGGGCAAAACCTGCAGCCCCTGTTGAATAAGGTGGATTTTCAGAAGTCATAATTAAGGCTGATGGTGTCATGCAATGAACTTGTTAAATCAGAAAAAGAAGATTCTATTGATGTCAGATGCTGGTTAGTGGACCTTCAGATACAGGTAGGTGACTAGCAGTACCAGTTTGTGAGTGACAACAGCTCACGTACAATAATGGACGGATTTCAAAGTGCATTCTAGGCATTGGCATGGAAACTGTTACAGCATCACAGATACCTGCAAGTCACATTTCAAAGATGCTCATGCATTTGGACCACATTGTGGTGGTTTCAAGAACAAATGAGCTCTACAGTTGGTCCAGCTGCAGCGTGTGGAAGGCTGAGATCACTTACTGGATTAGCAAGGACAGAAGATTTGAAATGCATGGAAGAAACTTTGTTAGATTAACTGGTTATGAATGAAGAAATATATCAAGCTCTTGAGGTCTGAGGAAACCTCATGCTGTAAGGCAAGCGCAAGAGATTGTCCTATCCCTAGATCAGGAGTTGTGTCAAAGATTGTGGTGTAGAACATCAAGAAGATGGCACTTCAGGCATGTAGTCTCGGCACTGGTCATTGTAATGGATGAAGGGATGTGAATGCTGATCAACCTTGCCATTACTCCCATTTTGCTCTACAGAATATGCTCAGCAAGACAGCAGATCAGCAAAATCACAGTGCATCTATTGGTCTAGACTTTGACATGTATCCCGTTTTGGAACATTTTGGACAAGGGACGACAAAGGCGTATACTTGCATTTTCTTCTTTTGATTGGATGTCCACAAGGTTATTAAGGGATTTCTGGTTTCTTCTTTGGATTGATTACCAGATGGTCAGGTATAGAAGCGATCCCCTGATCCTCCTCCTTCCCCTCTGCTTCGTAATAAGAGTATATTTTGAAATAATGGAATGTTTCAATGAGGAAATACTTGGGGAAAACCGTGTAAGCAGTGTAAACTATGCCTTTTGCTGTCCAAAAGCTTTTTGCAACTGGTCACTTAAATGCAAGGGTGGTTGCTCATACCAGGCTGTTTTTCTGAGTGCAGCTACCCGATGAAATCATGCTGAATTGGGCAGCCAGCCTTGTTGGCTGATCAGTGTATGAGACTAAGTGGTGGGAATTGGACCCTTAAGTACTTCTCTTTAATATCAAAAAGAGACGTCCAAGCAAGGCCTTAAAATGAATGTTGAGAGTGATGTCATAGTGAGTGTCCTTCACTGTGTGATGCATAGCAAGCTTTTTTTCAGCTCTGAGTACCCTAAGCTTCTCTTTTCATCTTCCTTTAAAAGTGCCAGACTGGCGTGTGTACACTCTGACGGGGAAAAAAAAACAACCACCATTCAGTGTCCATGTTTCTCTGCATATATGTCTGGACTCAGCTTGATAAAGGATCCTACCTTCAAGCCTTGCCAGAATTAAAATTCTTAGCTTGCCAACAGCAGTGTTGTGAAAGAAGGGCAATAATGCAAACAGTGGGACTGTGGAAAAAAAAGTCCAGGTCATGCTGGACTGGAACCAGTGGTTCTTGGACTGAATATAAAACTTGCATTAATACCTGCTCAGAAGAGGTCAAGGTAATGTTGCAGTCACAGATTGAGTCAGAGTGGGTGGCTGTGGCCATCAGAAGGGAGATTTGTCTTCTGACAAAAAGAACATGCCCTGTACTTGGTTAGATCTTCGCCAACATTTTCTTGGCTACATTTGGAAAGACTTCAACATTCAACGTGAGATTTGGATGGAATTGAGCAAGCTGATCTGCATGAGGCTTCTCATAGATTCTCTGGAAATGTTATCAAGTGTTTCTGTCTCAGAATCACAGAGGAGTCTGGAAGGCAAATGACACATACTGTAGGCTTTTTAATCTTTACCCAGTTGAAAAGCCATTGATTTTCTGAATTGTGCCATGTATTAGCTCTTAATTTATTTCCAGGATACTGAAGATGAGGGTTAAGGCTAAAAAGCTCCATATCCATTTTCATGACAATTCTCTTGGCAAGTTATTTAGCAATCTGACATAGTTTTAAAATGGAAGGTATTTTCTATATCACTTTCTTTTTCCACAACTTTTCTGTTTTTTTTTGAAAGATCTGCTGTTTTTGTTTAGTACTGAGGCTGGTGACCAACCTCAAAAGAAGTACTGCAGTGTAACAGAATGATAAACTGTATAATGAAATTAGTATCTAGATGTTAAACTAGAATTTCTTGTTCTTGTATTACTGAGATGAGGTGCTGTTGAAAGATGGTAAATCTAAGGATAACAAGTTTTAAGTTGGTAAATTAAGAACAACGTATGCTAGGTTACTGGAATTTGCAGCTTCTTGTTGAAACCAGCAGATAACAAGGTAGAAGTGGTGGATGTTTTGAGTAATGAAATATGTTTGATACGCAGTTTAAAATATTTGTAATGGTATCTAGAAACTTACGCTCTAACTATTAACTGTTAGGTGAGAGTTCCTTTGTGAATCTTTTAATTTCTGCATCCATCAGTTTTAGAGCTTCTTGTCAGCTCTTGATCACTTGGTTCTGGTTACTATTGGAGACATGGTATGACATTTTGAAGATTGTTTTAGTGGATGGATAGGAAATTCTAGTTCACAAATATGAAACTTCAGAGATTCGTTTATGTCTTTAAAATGTGCTTAACCAAATGAAAGTTTGCATTTTTAGAATTTAATTTTAAAAAGTTATGAAATAGTAGAAGCTACGAGATGAACTTATATTACAGAAAGCAAACCAGACTTTGTTAAAAGCAGAATTGCATTTTCTTAATCTAAGAGCTCATATTGACTCTGAAATGGATCCATTTTACATGACATAGATCATGGTGACAATACAAGGTTTTTATTAAGATACTCTTTTTGATATGGCATACAATGCCATTATGAATTGCCACTTATTTTAAATAATTTGTTTAAAATGAGGAAAAATTGAAACTGTCAATAAGAATTTGCTTTATAGAGCAAATACAGATAGAAGAGTGCAATCTTTGGGGACCCAAGTGTTTAGAGACAGTCGTATTTTTCTAAGCCGTCAGAGCTGACAGTTTTAAGATCATGCAACCAGTAAGTTATTTTGTCAGTAGAAAACAAATATTCTTGATTCTAATCTCTGTTTTGAATGTCCAGCTAAATATTAATTGATGTGTTCTTATTGCAGCATGGTATTCCAAGTTTCTTTTAAAATTCAATAATTTTATGCAGCGTGGTTTATTTAAATAGGTATGGTTATCTTCTATATGCAGGCTTATCAGTAACAGCAGAACAAATAAATCCTCATGGTTCCACTGTACGGAAAACAGAAGCTAGAGTTGAAGAGGCTTTTCGGAACAAACAAAAACCCACAATGGCTGTGTGGCCCAACTCTGCAAATAAATGTGCATGTGAGTACCTTGGATGATAATTGTGCAAAATTAGAGGTACTTCCAATGGCAAACATTTCAAATGTCTCTCTACTACTGTTTACTGATTATTTCCAGAAGTAATTTGAGCATGAAACACGTGGAACTTTAGGAAATACTCTTTTTCTGACTACATGAAATCTCTGCCCAAGAAGTTACAAAGAAGCAGGATTTCTGTTTTTGTGATAAAGAATAACTGTTTTTCTAATGTAATATGAGTAATAAATTTTTATTTGTAAAAGACTATTTTCAGTATAAGACAGCTCTGATCCAATGAGAAGATCACTTTTATCTGTTTGATAAGTGTTAGGATTTGTTTACTCTGTGTGTGTATTCACAGGTACATTCCTACACGCTGCTTCATATTCTCTCACATGCACTATAGTTATTCACTTCCTATCTTCAGTGCATACGGTATCATGCTAAAAGTTAGAAAAGAGATTACAAATTTAACTGTATTTTCCTTTATGGTACCTGGTTTTCAATAGTCAGTACCCATTATTGGAGGATGTTAAGATACTCTCACTGCAGCTGCAGCCTGCTGAATTAGTCCAGCTAATCTAGATCTGTGAGGAGTGACTGTTTAACTGTGGTGAGGTAATCAGAGGCACTGCTAATTATTTTCAAGAGGTAAGTTGAGTAGAACAGGTAAATACACAACAACAAATATTTTTGTTATAAACAAAATAAAGACTATAAGAGAAAGTGAGTATGAGTGATACACTGATAGTTGTGCATGGCTTTCCCGCTGAAGATGTGGAATCCATTATTAATATATTATTAATAGCATTACCAATTATTACTTAATAGGCAAACTGATAGTTTGGAGCGGACTGATATTCATTGGTCTATGTGCTCTCCTTCATGGTGCTTTTCCTTGATGAGAAAGAGTTTTCTAGGCACGGTGATAACTGCCCAGAGATGAACATTGTTTATATATGAATGTGGTGTTGATTTCAAAGAGTTTAATTAATTAGAGGTGTATGGTTTTATTTCCTGAAGCTGTAATTTCTTCCGTTAAAGGAATTAAAGTCAATCGTACAGAGTTATGGTTTGAATAAATTGTTATGTAATAAATTGATGATGCGGATCCAAGCTGTTGTTTATTCATTTGGCAGCTTGTGCAAAAACAGAGAGAGGAGGGAAAGGATTCTCAAATTTTTTTTTTTTTTTTTGTTTCCAATGAAATACAAGATAGAGATTCTCACTCTGGCTGATCTACAGAGCACTTTCTGGGCTCTGAATGCTGTGCAGCAGACGGGAGGGTTTATAGACCTCCAAGCCAGACGTCTCTTGGGAAGAGAGCCATTACTGGTGACTTGTATAAAAAGAAGCTCTGGTACCTCTGCTCTCTTCTCCACTTAATGTTGTGGATGCAGTGGCAGTCGTTTGAAAACTAGAGCCATCGACTGAAAGAAACTGCCAGTGTTCCTGTGTGTAAACAAAAAAGAAGTTAGTGTTAGCACCATTCC